CAGGGCACAGATTCCATCTGAAACGACCATCACGTGTTTCACCACACACACACACACACACACACACACACACACAGAGGCAAAGATAATTATAAACTAATAACAAGGCATTCTGCTCCTCCATTGACCCAACCACTTTAATTGCAGAGTGCATCTAAAAGAGCCATCATTTCCGCTCAAGTCTGCAGTGGCAAGCTGCTGGTAACAGTGTAGCTGAGTGCAGAGAGAACTCCAGGAGTTACGAAGACCTGTGTGCTTAGAACATTTAGGATTAGAAAATTAAGCATTTAAAGCTAGCAGGGACCTTAGAAGCCATTAAACCCAATCCTCTCATTTTACAAGTGAGGAAACTGAGGCACAAAGCGTTGAAGTGACTTTTCCAAGGTTGAAACATCTAGTAGGTATCTGAGGGAGGAGCTGAATCCAGGGCTTCCTGACTCCCAGGTGCCTCATTAGCGGCATAGCTATAGGCAAGTCACAGCTTTTAGCTTCTTATAAAATACCCTAGAGGGCTATTGTGGAAATCAAAGAAGATGCACATACTTTGTAAAACCCCACAAGAGACCTTAAAACGCAGCCTCTCATGCAGTCTGGAAGGCCTGGGTGCCAGTCCACCTATGACACACCCTGGCTGCCACCCCGGGCAAGCCCCTTTCACCTCTTTGGGCCATAAGAAGGTACAGAGGTCCCTAGACCAATGAAATCACAAGTCCAGTTCAAAAAATGCTCTGTAAATGTCAGCTGATAGCACTGCAGCCCTTACTCCTGGTGATGGCTTGGGTCTTTAGAGTGGCTAGGGATCCTGGCCACCATCCAAAGCAACAATCCAATCTAGGTTCAAATCTCAGCTTTACTTCTTTGTACTTGAGCGACCTTGGGCATGCCATTAAATCTTGCTAGGCCCTTCTAATACCAATAATAACCACCACCACCTAACATTCATATAGTCCTTACTATGTGCCAGGCTCTGCGCTAAGCGCTTTACAAACATTAGTTCATTTGGTCCTCACAACAATACTGTGAAGTAGGTACTGTTAAGATTTCCATTTTAAAGATGAGGAAACTGAGGCGGGCAGAAGTGAAGTAATTCGCCCTGGATCACATAGCTGAGAATATAACATAGGTGTTTGAGGCTGGATCAGAATTCAAATCTTCCTGCCTCCAGGGCCTGCCACCTAGACGATAATTTAACAGCCATTTATGAAGGCTTGCTCCTGGGGAGACATAGGAGGACGCCCAGGGATAGTGAGGATGTGAGAAGAGAACAGTGCTTCCAGGTAAAGGAGGCGACATTAGGTACCACAGAGGGGAGAAGAGGTCAGTGATGACTTTAAGGGGGGGCAGACATCTAGGTAGAGGAGGAAGTTGGAGAACGGGGCACATGACTTTCTTCCAGTCCAGAAATGCTGCTGACAGTCTTTGAGCTGCAGAACCGTCCGCAGCTCACCTGCAGCTCACGCTGCCCAGCCAAGAAGCTTCCATTCACTCTCTTGGAACCCCTGCGGACGACCGCGCACGACAGAATTCGGGGGAGTGGACAATCGCGGAATGAGAGGAGGCTATCGGCAGCTGCCTTCTTGGAGGAGGAATTTAGGGGTAAGGCTCGGGGGGGGGGGGGGGGGGGCCACGCCTACCACGTGGGAAGGGTGGGGCAGAGGCAAACCCACTAGGCCTCCTTGTTATGCGGGAATTTGGCTCGTGGGCAGTGTATCTATTCCGTTAGTGGCAGCACCACCTTGGGAAGAGAGAGAACAGGCTTGGGTTCAAAGCCTGACTCTTGACGCTGCCTAGGGAGCGAACACGGACCGCTCAGAAGCTCAGGAACCTCCCCGCGCTCAACTTCTTACATGGGCTGTGATGGGTGCTGCTGAAGGGTCTCGGAGCGGAGGAAAGCCCAGGTCCTCAGCCTACAGACTTAATCTTTCTGTTAAGTGAAGGCTATTACTTCAGAGGACGCATTTGACTGAGAGCCCTTTCAGTCACATGGAAATCGGTTCAGTCTTTCTTCCTGCTCAGATTAAACTGCTTCCTTTCATGTTACCTACAACTAACAGGATCCCCCTCCCTATTGTAACATCTGAGGCTGTCTGGGGGGCAGCGTCCTAATGGGTGATTACCAACATGCTCCAATTTGAGTGTTCCCGAGGACATTTGGAATCAATTAAATATTCAAATGCAGTTTTTCAGATCTCGAGCCAGGCACAGCAGGTTTGAGGGATGAGGGTCTTCGGGAAGATAGCTGCTGTTCCTCACACCAAAACTCTAGTTGGAGACAGATTAAAAACAAAAAACAAACCAAACTATGCCGTCCAGGCTTCCTGGATCTTCCAGCAAACAACTTCCCCGACATTAGAAATGCTACAGGAAGAGGAACAGGAGCTGAGTTTTGTCGGGCTCACAGGAGCACCTCTAGGGCATGAACCTACTTGTGCCTTTTTAAAATATGTCGCTGTTCCTAGAACTGAGGCTATCAATCGCTTATTCTCTCGTCATTTCGTGGGCTCTGTTTGTAGGTAAATCCATTTAGGGCTTGGAGTAGTGAGAAAGCCTGGCATTTCCTGAGCACTCAGAATGAAGGCCATTTAACTCCATTTCTCTACTTTACATTTCTCCACTTTCTCCCATTCCTTCCCGTGCTCCCCGACCCCCAACACCTGCATGGACTGTATTATTGCACAACGCACAGTGAGAGAGCAACACCTTATTTACAGACATCATCAAGGAATGACTGATTCCCCCATCAGTGAATTTTCCAGATACCTGAGGATTTCTGTGCCAAAATTTCAAATCCAATATTTTTGTTGAAAATATTCCCAAGAATGTTGTAAACTCCCCTACCTCCAATGTAGGAGACGCTAAACCTACCTAACCTCATCCTGAAGTCTCGGTGGGGTCATAATTATGATTGTAAGGCAGCTAAGAGGGTAAAGTGGCTAGAGCTCTAGACCCAGAATCAGGAAGACCCGAGTTCAAGTCCAAATTCAGTCACATACTAGTTGTGTTGCCCTGGGTAAGTCATTTGACTTGTCTACCTCAGTTTCTTAAACTGCAAAATACAGATAAAAACAGCGCCTCAGGGTTGTATCAAATGAGAGAATATTTGTAAACCCTAAAGCATTAAATGCTAGTTGTTATTATTAAACTATTCTGTGATATTTTTAGGGTAAATCGTATTATTTATGTCTGTTAAGCTACTATTTCTCATTGAGGTCAGTGGCCTCAGTGGTCATGAAACATTTGATTTGACCATTCTAAGGGGCATTAGAAATCTAGTCTGATCTTGTTTCACAGAGAAGCAAGGAGGCTCGTGCAAGGTCCCAGATGGTTTGTGGCACTGTAAGGAGGTTTTCTACCAGCTCCTGGGATCTTTGTTCTACTGATTTTGGATCCAAAGTAAGCAAACTGGTTGGATGAAGAAGCAGCCTATTTTCCCATGATTCTAAATCGAGGAAGTGTGGGCTCTGATGGTGGCCTCACCAAAAAAGTGCATGGGGTTCGTGAGTTCTTTCCCTAACCAAGTGTCTTCACTTATTTCTGCATTTTGGACTGTTCTGGATGGCTTCATATAAGAAGGGCTCTACTGTCTCCATAGTGGTACATACCTCCTGAATCAATGCTAGAAACAATATATCTGATGGCTACCCCATCATACAAATGGCATAGGGTTTGCACCCCTCTACTGTTGACAATTCAATTCTTCAATTACATTAGTTGGTCTCAGGTATTGTCAAGTAACTCAATCACCCAGTAAAAGCCCCCTTAAAAAAAAAAAAAAGAAAAAGAAAAGTAAGACCCTGTAGGAAAGTGTAACTGCCCAATTCAGATACCCAGGAAAACAGTTCTCTTCAGATCTCTCCAACCACCTTTAACTAGGGCTGATTGCAAATAGCAAAAGCCATCGCATTAATAATTTTCATCCCTTCTGCAAATGGCCTAGAGCTAAGCAATGGAAAGGAGAGAGAAGAGAGAGAATTCACAGCCCTGAGCTGGCCAGGCAAGCTGCTCATCACACTGCAGCCATTACAACACCTCTTGTTTCATCAAACACTAGGGTGGGAAGGATGTCTTCCAAATGGCAGCTCAGTTGGCCTTAGTGTTTCCCAGATGAGTGCTTCATTTTTCATCATTACTAAATTAATAGCCCCCATTTTATAACACTGCTACAAAGAACATTTTTTCCCCACTCAAAAAGCTCCATTCTGGGGGGTGGGTGGGGGGAAGACCTGAATCCACTGAAAGGCATCATGCATCCAAATGCAGAAAAGATGGCATTCCTTGAAATAAAGAGCCCCTTTTAATGAAGTCGAGGTGTAGGACAGATTTATTAGCTCCGATTTTCCCATGTTCCATTCTAGCTGATTTCCTGTCCATATTGCTAAGCTCTGCAGACCCCTTTGTAGGATTAACGTTTTTTTCTGAAGAAGTCGGAGAGCACAGGATGCAGCCATACTGACCACACCTGCACGGCCACACCTGGGATGCTACAAATGTTACCAGTCCTGGATTACAAAGCACCACGTCCAGGCTGGACAGAAAGCAGCTGTGATTTATGACCTGTTAGGATCCCCCGTGCTCGAAGAGTCGAGGCTGAGAAAGACCTTAGGAATGGACTTCAAAGGAGCAGCTGCTCTTACCCTCTACAAGTGACAATGAGGGTGGGTGCGCTGCAAGCTGCACTACTTTCACCAAGTTCTTTGCACTTTTATGAGATGGCAGAAAACTAAAAAAACAAAACAAAACAAAAGAAGTCATTTAAAAAATGAAGCAGGGGACTTCGATGCTGCTGGTCCTATGAAAGGACCTGGGCTCTAAGTAAGAGCAGAGCAGCAGCGTGGGGAGGCAGAGAAAGCCCAAGCCTGGCGCCAAGGGCCCTCAGTTTCTTTCTCCAGGAGCACGGGGATCAATGCTACCTGTCACCTACGAGGGTGACATTTAGGAGCTGGGAGTCTGGCACTGGTGAGGGAGGTTTATCATCCAGAAAGAAGTCCACGACGCCAAGCTTGGTCAACAGTGTTTATTTCAACAATGCTGGGTCCCATCCCAGTGGGGTGCTCCTTAGCCCTAGGGGCCCCTAGCAGTGCCACAACTGCCCAGTTCTTAGTTCAAGTACGTGCTCAGCTAAAAGCTTAACAAACAGTGGCTAGTTTATGAGCATTTAGACCACGGGTTTTCTGTGGCCTTGAGGACCTGGCTGTGAGCGCCAGTAGTGGAGCCTTTTAAGGTTCCCATGATTTTTTTTTTTTCCACACAAGAGGCCTATGCTACATATTTATTTAGTGTCTAAGTGTCCCAGTCCTAACAGGCCCGTCTCTGTCCCCAGAGCTACTTCAACATGCCCACCATCACTTCACTGATGTCCCAGAGTTTTCTTGCCACGGAGTCATCCATGGCTTTGGGCAGGAGGTCCTCCTCTTTGCAATCTCCAAAGTACTTTCCCGACACACCCTCTACTTCTGCTGAGGAAGCCAGGTAGATCGAGGTTTGGGCTCCTTCTGAGGGGCTTTTGAAAAAAGCCCACGACACTAGATTGAAAAGTGGCTTGACCAGCAGGGGAATGTTTATGTGCCTCCCCAGGTTGGTTCGGGCAATTCCGGGATGAAGCACATTCACGGTAACATTCGTGCCTTCTAGGCGGCGGGCTAGTTCTCTGGTAAAGAGAATATTTGCCAACTTGCTCTGACTATAACAGAAACTTTTATTATAGTTTAGCTCACTATTCAAATCTTCAAAGTTGATTTCTCCATATTTGTAAAGTTTGGAAGAAACCACTACAATCCTGCTGGGGGCAGAGTCTTTAAGGCGGTCAAGAAGCAGGTTAGTAAGCAGGAAATGGCCCAGGTGATTCACCCCAAACTGCATCTCGAAGCCATCTTCTGTCTTCATATATGGGCACTGGAAGACCCCAGCATTATTGATCAAGACATCCAGTCGGGGCTCCTCCTGGAAACGCAAAGAGAAGGGGAGGATGAGGACTGGTGGCGTGGAGCCACGGCTTTATCCTAACTGACCCCTGACCCAAAGGATATCAAAGTGGCAGCTTCCCATTTGGGTTTCAAACCCAACGTCTCCCTTTTCACCCAGAGAGACTGGCCACAGTCTTCAGCACTTTCTGCCCAATGGAGCTGTCCTGCCAACAGGAAGCCCAGAAAAACATGGCACGTAGCCCAGGTGATCAGACAGCAGAATCCCAGACTTGTGACTTTGGGGCTTGTCCTCATCCATCTCACACCAACAGGCCCAGCTTCTAAAATGTCTTGGAACAAACCCTCTAATTCTTGTAGTGTTCCTATGGTGACACAGCAATGCTCAGGGACCTGGGATTCCATTAATGTGGGTTCTCCCTCCACTGAGGTGGCTCACGATTCCTTCCAGGACATAGGAGATGCTTTGTGAACTGCTGGGGCTACTCCTAACTGAGGTGACCTCTCTGTGGGGGGCAACCAGCCTCCCCTAGGTTTCTGCCTCCTCCTGTCTGTTCTTCCTCAGCCACTGAGCCTGGGTCCCCCACCCCCATCCCCTGGCTGGGGGCCAGGGGCAGGGCTCTGTCCCTCCCCCAGGCTCTTCCATTGCCATGGGTTGGATGGTCATCTCCAAGCAGACGACTTCCTGACCTATGGAGCCAGCTCCGCTGCTGTCATGGGATAAGCCCGAGGAGTGTCAAATCCCGAGCCCTCTCTGTCTTCTCAGAGGGCTCTCCTCGCCTCGTCGCGCTCCTCTAAGCTCACAGGTTTGTCGATTCTATCCCGGTAACATTTCTCACTCATCACAGAGTCCAGCCCTCACTGCCTATGACTCGGACTCCTTCCGTGGCCTCTCAATCGAGCTCTCTGCCTCAGGCCTGTTCTGCACCCAGATGTCACTGTGCTCCTCAAAGGTCTGCAGTAGCTCCCTATTGTCCAGAATCTCACAAAATCCACCCATCAGTCAAGGGGCATTTATAAAGCCCTGCAGTTAGTGCAGGGAATGCGAAAACCCCAGCAAAGTAGCTCTAGCCTGCCCTCAAGGAGATGAAGTTCTACAGGGTGGGGTAACATGTACACATATAAGCACATGATAAAGATAGGAAGAAATACAAGCTAATGGTGGGGGGAGGGCAGGAGCAGGTACTAGTATGTGGGGGAGGTGGGGCAGGGATTGGGAGAGGAAACAGTAAAAACCTCTTGTAGGAGGCAGTGATTGAGCTCAATTTGTTAAAGCTTGGACTTCTCAGGGAAGTCACCCACTCTGCATTCCAGTCAAACCAGAAGGTGGGCTTTTCCCTCTCCCACCTCCAGGCCTTTGCATAGCTGGTCTCCCAAGCCCCAATGCACTTCTGTATTCCCAGCCCCTAATGGAAGGATCTGGTCCTGTAAGTGCCTAACAAATCTGGCTGATTGATAGGAGGAAGCCAGATGAGTTCTACAGCCAACTACAGCTCGCCAACACTTCTTTCAGGACTTGTAGTCCCAACAAACTAAGATGCTTAGAGTCTGGGCAGAGAAAAGGGGAGTCTTTTTTTTTTTTTTTTTAACAATGGTTGGTTGGTTGTTGGGGGGTGAGGCTAGGGAGCCAATCCTGCAATTTTATTGGTCTAGGGAGCTCCCAGCAAGGAAACTCCCTCTCCCAATGCCCCTTAAGCTGCCTGGGGCACTGAGAAGTCAGAAAATCTGCCCAGAGTCACAGAGTCCGCATGTCAGAGGCGGGACAACTTCTAGTCTTGCTGCTTTGAAGGACATTTCTCTATCCACTACACAGGGTGCTGCTGGGGACCTCTGCAGGGGGTCTGCAAGGTCAAAATTATTTTCATGAAAATTCTGGGATATTTTAATTTATAATATGGCAATCATAGATAGATATAACCAATATAAGGGGGCAGCTAGGTGGTGCAATGGTTAGAGCACCAGGCCTGGCATCAGGAAGACTCATCTACCTGAATTCAAATCTGGCCTCAGACACTTACTGTGTGACTCTGCACAAGTCACTTAACTGTTTGCCTCCAATGAGCTGGAGAAGACCATGGCAACCCACTCCAGTATCTTTGCAAGGAAAATCCTACATGGGGTCATGGACAGTTGGACGTAACTGAGAAACAACTGAATGACGACATGCTCAATATAAACAAAAGCTCAGGGGTCCTGAGGACGCCACACTACATGGTGCTGCCTCTGAGTGAGGGGGCAGGGTGATCTCTACACTGGGAAATATGCACATTCAGGAGGCGGTGTCATGGGCTCCTCCCGGTCATTCCCTCCCAAGGGCATGTGGGCAGAGGGCTGCAATCAGGGAGACCTCAATGCTTCCAGGAGTTCCCTTACTGAGAAGTCCCTACACAATGACCACCCAGGTCTGGTTTGAAATCATGAGGTCATTCCCTTCCCTTGGCTGGACACCAGGTCATTTTTGGGGGGGGGCAGGGAAGACCGGTGTCTTAGTGGACTGCAAGCTCAGTATCAATACGGTGTGGTTCAGCAGAGGTCACTGTGATCCTACACGGCGCAGAGGACGGCCAGGTATCACTGCACTGCTCTGAGCACACATGGAGGGCAGGTGCAGTTCTGGGAACTTCATCATAAGCAGGTTATTGAGATGCCAGAGAAAGCCCATGACTGGCCAATCCTCGTGATGAAGGAACCAGGGGTGCTGTGAAGAAAACCCTTCGAGCAGATCTTCTGGAGGGCGAGGCTCCCTGTGAAAGGCATCAAGGAGTGAGGGTCAGACTCGTTCTGAGATGGCCCCAGAGAGCCCAGCTCCAAGCAGTGGGCTCCACATAAGGAAAGCCTTAGGAATGAGCTCTCCCAGAGTGGAAAGCAGCATCTGGCAAGACTCTGGGCTCCCCCTCACTGGGGATCAGTGGTCTTCCACCACTGTGCCATGCTGTGCCACGTGACAAGTGCCACCCCTACTTGTCACAGTTATCAGGTGGCAACGTCAGCCGTGTCCTGAAATCCCCGAGTTTTGTTTTTCTTCCAATATTCATAACGACATTGGAATCTGGAGTAGGAGAGGAGCACTTTTATACTCACCTTCTGGAAGGTTTTCCCAAAGGCATCATTTTTTTTAACTGAAAATTCTTCACTTGCCAAAAATCTGTTTTTTCTTCATTTCCCTCTCCACTGTGGGAGGGGGACTAGGGAAGAAAAACAAACCCCTTGTAACAAATACGCAGCCTATCAGTGCTCTGTCAGGAGCCGCAAACACTCTGCGTCGATGAGAGCACATTGAGGGTTAGTCTTTCCTAAGCCGAGGTCTTTCCAGGGTTGCTGTTCTGTGTGAAATTGCTCTCCTGCTCCTGATCACTTTACCGCGTCTTCCCAGGTTTTTCTGGAGCCGTCCTTTTGTCACAACTTACGGCCTGGTAGTTCATATGCCACTCTAATAGGTGAGTGCTCCCCACCCCCCATGTCCAATTCTTTGCCACTACACAAAGGTCACTCTGAATGCTTCTGGGCATATGGACCTGTTTCCCTTTCTTTATCTTTTTGGGTATAAGCCTGGCAGTGGCAGTGCAGCAATTAAGGTGCTGCATTTGCAGTCAGGAAGACGAGTTCAAATCTTGCCTCAAATACTTATTAGCTGTGTGACCTGGAGGGAGTCACTTCTCTCCTCCTGGCCTCAGTTTGTCTGTTATGGGGATCAAACGGGATAATATGTACAAAGTATCCTGCAAATGCCAACGTGACATAAAAGTTAATTATTAATGCTATTAGCACACTGCTGTGTCAAAGGGGATGAACAGTTCTGGAACTTCATGGGCACTCTTCCAAACCGCTTTCCAGAACAGCTTGGCCCCACCAGTGGTGTAAGCCAGTGTTCCTGTTTTCTCACAACTCCTTCATCATGAGTCATCTTCTTTTTTGTTAAATTTACTCGTCTGAGGGGTAGGAGCTGGAACCTTAGAGTTGCTTTAATTTACGTTTCCCTAATTATTAATGATTTGGAGCATTTTTTTTTCAAATGGCTATCGATAGTTTAGATTTCTTCCTTAAAAACAAAACTACCTGTGCTTTTCCTTTGGCTGTTTATCAGATATGGAACGGCTCTTAGTTTTATATATCTTGGAAAAGAGACTTTATCAGAGAAAACCATTGCAAGTCCTTTCTCCTGGTTACCTGATTTCCTCCTAAAGTCAGGTGGATTGGCTTTGCTTATATACAAATGTTTACACTTCCTGTCATCAAAATGGTTGATTTTGTCTTCTGTGATCCTGGCACACAGTGGGCACTTAGATGCTTGTTTACTTGACTCTCTGTCCCTGGGTTGGTCATGAACTCTTCTCCTATGATGGATCTAAAAGGAAACATCTTCCCTGCTCCTCTGACGTGTTCATGAGGCCCCTCCGCCCCCCTGAGCCTCATGATCCCGTGGACCTTGGCATGGTGGGGGCTGTGGGTCTCTACCTGGACTCTGCCCGGCAGCTGTCCCAGCTGTCCCGGTTTGTCCCACAACAGCTCTTGGCCCAGCAGCTGGGATCTCTGGCTTCTGCTGTGTGTATGGGCTCCCACAGGCTGTGCACCTTCCTCATTTCTTCCCAGGACCAAACTGTCCTGAGGATCACGGCTTTGGTGTCTATTATCATATACTTGGATATGGAGCTGCCAGCCCTCTTCCTGTTCACTTTTCTCCCCCTCGTGATTTCCCTTGAGATTCTTGACCTTTTCTTTTCCCAGACAAACCTTGTTCTTATTTTGTTGAGAGGCAAAAGGCGACCCTTCAACAGTCTACCTGGTGTGGCACAGAACATGTGCATCAGTTGAGGGATGTGGTGAGTTAGGGCAGTTTTCCACTTCAATCATCTGAAGACTTTTGGGACACCCAGGACAACTCGGCCCAGCTGTGAGCAATGAGCAGGTTTCCGACTGTTCAGGCCTCGATCTGTGTGGTGATGGTCTAGTGTTCTGGGCAGATTCCCAGGGTGATGATGCCTCCTGTGGTCATTTTCCATGGTATTACTCTTTCCATCTCTCCTGCTGGGTTTCGTTGGTCACAGAGACTACTACCCCTGCTTTTTAATTTTTTTTTACATAATAAATTCTGCTCCTGCCCTTTATTTTATCTTTGTGTGTCTCTTGCTTTTATTGTATTTCCTGAAAGCAAGACCCTGTTGAAGTCCTACGTTTAATCTGCGGCCCTGTCTGCTCTGGTCAGTTCTGGGATCCTCTGCCTGATGCTGCGCACTGAAAAGCAGGATTCGGAGAAGAGAAGGGGTTCCAAGGCCTGTGTCCAGACTGATGCTGGACTCACGAGGCCCAGGCCAGTCTGGACAGGCCAGGACCAAAGTTCTAGGTGTTCTAAGTCTCCCCTGACGCTGGGGCCTGGCGGGGACGGCGGGGGGGGGGGGGGGGGGGAGGGGCCACCCTCCCCTTCCTGTTTTGTTTATCCTCATCCTCTCATCCTCCCCTCCCCCTCATGGGGGGTGCTTCTGCCCGAACTTTGTTTGCAAACGTGACTTCAGGCGATCCTAACAGCAGCCCCACTTTACAAAAAAGGAAACTGAGCCTGAGTGACCTGCCCACGGGGACACGCCCAGGTCCGGCGCTGCATCTGTCCACTGGGCCCAGAACCTCCACACCTTCAGCCCTGGGTCTCCCTGCCTCAGTCTCCCCCATCTACCGACCCTCTCCTCTCGCCCGAAAAGCTCCCAGGTGCCCCCTTCCTGCCCTTCATCTCCTGCCTCCGCGCCTTTGCACTCCTGGGCTCCCAACAGGCCTTCCCCTCTCCCAAACCCTGGTTGACTTCCATGCTCTCCTTCAGGCTACACCTTCCCTGACCCGCCCCCTGCCTGGGCACGCCCCCAAAACAGAGGAACCGTCCTCCGTTGGCAATCCAGGCAGTGGGCACTGGGGAGGGGATGAAGATGACTGGGGCAAGAGCAGTGGGCCTGCCCGCTCACCTGCAGGCCCCACCCCTCCACGGGAGGCCACCGCCCCGGCCCCACTGCGCATGCCCCGCACACCTGCACGCCCCCCACCCCCCGCGCATGCCCCCCCCCCCCGCCAGCCCCCCCCCCCCGCCCCGCCCAGGCCGCCGCCCTGACTCCACTGCGCATGCCCCGCTCACCTGCAGCACCTCTTGACAGAAGGCGCGCACTGAGCGCAACGAGGCCAGGTCCAGTTCCTTGACGACCAGCTCCCCGGCGGGGCCGCCTTCGGCCGCGGGCGGCGCCTGGGCCCGGGCCCGCTCCAGCTCCTGCTCCCGGCGGAGCTCAGCGGCGGCCTGCTCGGCGCGCCCGCGGTCGCGGCAGGCGAGGATGACGCGGGCCTCCCGGCGCAGCAGCTCGGCGGCCGTGGCCCGGCCCAGGCCGCTGTTGGCGCCCGTCACGATGACCGTCTTGCCGCGCATGAGGCCGGCCGCGGCCCGACCCGCGGGCCTCAGGTAGCGGCGCGCCACCAGCCACAGCCCCCCGCCCAGGGCCGCTGCCAGCAGAGCCGAGCCCAGCCCCACCATAGCTCGGGCGCCGGCCGCGCATGCGCGGGCCTCCGGCGCGGTGGCTTCTGGGACTCGTAGTGCCGACCACGTGGGAGGAGGAGCTCCGGGGTTGTCAGTATCCCTGAGCACAGCTGGGTCCCAGGCTGTGGACGCTCCCACCCGTCACTGCGTTACACTCGAATGGTGTGGGCCTTAAAGTCCGCCCAAAAAACCGCCCGGATTCCGCCCTGACCCCCTCCCCGCGGCAATTTATTGTTCATCTATGACTTTCCATATTTTTATTGGTGAAACTGGTTCAAATGCTGACCTTTGCATGTATCCCCGCTAAAATTCCTCCTATTCAAACCTCTTCATTCTCCCCCATTGAGTTTTGTTTTCTTCGGAATGGGATTCTGCCATCAGCCATCCTAGCTAATCCTCCAAACTTAGTCCAACCGCCGACTCTACCCCTAAAATGTGGAACAGTACAGGCCTTGGATACTCCTCAGTGGGTCATCCTTCCAAGCCACTAATGACCTAACCCTAAATGTGCCTACAATTGTATCTGATCGTTCAAATAATTCAAAATTCACCCAAAAGCTACCACTTAGCCTCCTTCTCTCTATCTTTGTTTGTCTTCCCTGTGACCTTCATTCCCTCCTCCTGGAAAGAATCAATTTTTGCACTGGCCTCACTTTCTTCTTTTCCCTAACTTGGTGGTTGTCTAGGTGGCAGCTAGCTGGCACAGAGCATAGAGTGCAAGAGTCTGGAAGACCTGAGTTCAAATCTTGCCTTAGACACTAGCTGGGTGACTCAGGGCAAGTCACTTAACTTCTCTCTGCCTCAGTTTCCTCAACTGTAAAGTGTGGATAATAATACCTACCCCCGAAGGTTGTGAGGATCAAATGATCAAATCTGAAGGTGCTTAGCACAGTACCTGGCATCCAGTAGGTGCTTAATAAATGCCCTTCTTTTGTTCTTTCCTTCCTTCCTTCCTTCCTTCCTTCCTTCCTTCCTTCCTTCCTTCCTTCCTTCCTTCCTATTCCTTCCTCCCTCCCTCCCCACATCTCTGTAGCAGCCTGTTTTTATATGGTCCTTGAACTGAGAATGATTTTTACATTTTAAATAGTATAAAACTTCATTAAAAGATGCAAAAAAAACTTTCTTAATTCATGGGTACCGGGTAATCTGCTATAATTTGTAGATTGTACTATTAGGTGGCACAGTGCATAGAGTGCCTGGCCTAGAATCAGAAGACCTGAGTTTGAATCTGGCCTCAGACACTCAGCTATGTGACCTTAGGCAAGTTACTTAACCTTGTTGGCCTCACTTTCCTCATCTGTAAAATGAGCTGGAAAAGAAAAGGGCAAACCACTTTATTATCTTTGCCAAGAAAACCCCAGAGGGGGTTCTCAAAGAGTCAGACACAACTGAAAATGACTGAACCACAACTTTATACATTTCATTTGGTGTTCTCATCATCTCACATAGGTTCACTTATCTCTGTGCAAATGATTCCCAGATCCATGCATCCAACCCTGGTCCTTTCCTGAGCTACCGTCACTCATGACCAGATTGCTTCTTGGACATCTTGAATCAGATGGCCTGCAGACGTCTCAGACTGAGCAAATCCAAAACAGAACTCATTATCTTTCCCCCTCAAACCCTTCTACCTTCCCAGCCTCACTATCACTTTTGAGGGCATCATCACCCTCCCAGTCACCCAGGCCTACCACCTTGGTGTTGTCCTCAAACCCTCATTTTCCCTTGCCCAGCATATATCCCATGCATGACCAAATCTTGTCAAGTTTTACAGCATGTCTCCTTTATGTTCCCCTCTCTCCATTTTATAACCCTGGGTCAGGCCTTCATCACTTGTTGCCTGGAATAGTACAGAAGCCTTCTAACTGGTCTCCCTCACCTGAAGTCTCTCCTCACTCCATCCATCCTTCACTCCATTGCCAAAGTGATTCTCCTGAAGCCTAGGCCTCACCTTGACCCACCTGCTCAGTGAGCCTCAGTGACCCAGCCCTTATTCTGCTTGGCACCTTCCTAACCTGACCCCTTCCTTTCGAGTCTTCTCAGTCTTTACCCCCATCAATTTACTTGGGCACTGTGGCCCCCTGGTAGGTCTTTGAACCCAATGCTCAATCTCTCCACCCTGGCCTTTCGCATTGGCTGTCCCACGTCAAGAATAATCTGCCCTTCCCTTTCCCCTCTTGTCTTCTTTGGCTGCTTGCCTAATTTAGTGCAAATCCCACCTTCTCTTGGAAGCCTTTCCCCGTCTCACCTCATGTCCCAGATTCTCTTCCACTTACTCTGTAGATACCTTAGGTGTACATAGTCATTTACATGTTGTCTCCTCCACTTGACCAGCTTCTTAAGGGCAAGGACTTGGGATGTTTGTATTAGGACATCTACCTGAAAGGTGCTGGAGACAGTTTCTTAAGGAACAAATATTTATGGAGCACCCACCATGTCCATGGCACTGTGCCACATGTAAATGGTACTGTGGAAAAGGGAATGCTAAATATACTTTACAAAAATATCTCCTATTGTACGTATGTGTATTATGCATATCCTTTCCAGGCTAAATTGGAGACTTTTGAAGTTACGACAAAAACATATATTTAAGTATCTTTTGTGGAAATCCTTGGAGTTTTAAGTCCTCTGTTTATACTCAGAACAGATTTAGCCTCAGTAGTATCGGGCCAAACATCCTTACGTTAGATGTTTGCGGTGAAGTTTCTGAATCCTTCTGGAAATTGAACATACATGGGGAGGAATGTGAGGTTATGATCCCATAGCCACGCAGAGATCAGAATGTGAATGCTGAGGATGGCTCTCATTCCGTGATGTTCCTCACTTCCTAGCATGCTGAATGATGAAACATTTCTTGACTCACTCATCTTCAGATGGAGCAGGCAAGTATCCAGCTGGCTAAACAAAAACCTATAGAGTGTTCATAAATGACAGGAAAACTGTACCAAATGAAAGTACTAACTGGCAGAACATAAAAATGCAGAAGGCAATCCTGCAAAACACACCCAACAACAACAACAATGGCAAATAAGACAAAAAGAAAAAAGCAACCGATCAAGAAGTTTCTTACACTTTGCATCCAGAACCCTGCTCTGCCCAATAAATCACTGGATGTTCCTGATCTACAGAGCCTTGTGGAAGAGAAACAATCTTTATTTACAAGCCAAACTGGAAGCGAAAAGAGAAAAGCCTGTTTATGTGGTCTAAAAGGCAATTGGTGTTAAAAATGGAATTACCCCAGTGGTTAAAATTTGCCAAGTGCCTCAGCATTACTCTCCCAGGAATGTGTCTCACAGGCTGTTAAGTGATACCCAAAAGCCCTCCATGCATGGATGAAGACTTTGAGTGGCCATCACTCCTGGGACAGTTCTGATCATACTTCCAGGCTATCACGGAGGCAAAGGAGTTGTTTGCTTGAAGCAGCTGGCCAGTGCATTGCTATTTATAACTGGACATCTGCCCATCGGCTGTGTTCTTCCGTGAAGGATTTGTCAAGTATTTGTTATTGCCACCTCAACCAAGGTTGATCTGTCATGTGTAGACAACCAAACCACAACTCACTGTTGCTCACTTCAAGAAGAGGTGGCGGAAAGCTAGGCCCCGAGAAGGAGATGTCTCCAAAACACAGAGAGAGAAAAGCATTATTGTGGAGCAGAGGAAGGCTCCTAACAAAAGACTGGACTCTGTTCCTGCTGGACGTGGGCCTGGGCCTATCTGTCTTCTGTAGGTTCTCACACCAGCAGAGTTTATCTCAGGGATTTAAATGCCTTGCAAAGAACTCTTATGAAAACAATTGCAATAACTTTATAAAGGAAAATGTCTATAGTACTTGTAGCTGAATCTGCAAGAGGAGAAGACATAACTGCTCCACAAGAAAAACAAGCCAGAGATTGCTAGTATTGAGCCTCCCCTTTTAGTGCCCTCACCCCCAGCCCGAGGCACGTGTCCAGTGAAGTGAGCAAAAGAAAACTTGCACTTTGAAGCTCAGGGCCAGCTGTAGGGGACCCCCCTCAATGACGGCTTGTCCTGAACCCTACTTACTCCACAATTCAGACCAGGAGCAGCTAGGTGGAGCAGTGCACAGAGTGCTGGCCTGGAGTCAGGAGGACCTGGATTCAGACCCAGCCTCAGATATTTACAGCCTATGTGGCCCTGGGCAAGTCCCTTAGCCTCTGTTTGCCTTGGTTCCCATCTGTAAAGTGGGCATAATAATAGCACGTACCTCCCAGGGTTGATGTGCGGATTCAGTGAGACCGTATTTGTAAAGCGCTTAGCATACCTTAAAGCGCAGTACAAATACTAGCTATCAGTATTGACTGGAGGAAAGGAATGGGCTGACAAGCATCTCTACAAAGAAGAAGAAACAGAGAAAAAGAACAACAGATTTGGGACAGAAAAACACTTGAGGGTAGAAAAGTTGGGTATAAAGTTAAAGCACATTAAGACAGCATACGAATTCTATACAAACCAAAGTGACTGACCTTGAGGACAGGCTGCGCAGAGTTAATGGGGATTCTGGGTCTCTCAGAAGAATGGAAAACAATCACGAAACCTGATTGCTATTATGGTAGAAGCAACAAAACCCTGGTCTATCAGTCCACAGATTGCAACCAGGTCCAAATACAACAAAACAAATTAAAAGTTACAGTCACAATTTTGATAACAAACACAACATTTTACAAGCAGTCTGGAGAAAGACCTTCTAAACAGGAAGAAAAGGCACTTTGAGTAACACGGCATCATCCACATTCGTTGCAGAAAACAATCTTCCACGAAGAATGTGTAAAGTCCCAGATCCTTCATAACCTGGCCCCTTCCTGCCATTTGAGTGTTCTCCAACCTTACTTTCTCTTCCCCAAACACGTTATGACCCTGGCCTCCTGGCTCTTCCTTGCAATGATCTCTCTCTCTCTCCTAACTCCTTGAATTTCCAGTGGCCCTTCCTCAAACCTGGGAAGATCTCCTGCCATCCTCTACTTTATGCCAGAAGGCTCTCTCAGACCCTTCCTGTGCATAGCCCTGCCCTTTCTAGTGGCTCCTGCCTTTCCCCGAGATTCCTCTCCGGTACCTTACTTGGTATGTAACTTAGATGTCCATAGTTATCTGAATGTCATCTCTCCCATTTGGATGTGAGATCCTTGCAAAAAGACATCTCACTCTTTTTTTCTTTGTAGCTCCAGGGCTTGATGCAGCATTTGGTACATAGTAAGCACTTAATAATTACTGCTTGACTGACTGCAAATCTGAGCCTACTCAACTACCCAAAACCCCAAGAACAAAAAACAAAATGATAGATATTCAACATTGTATATTTTGTCAGATTCCATTAATGAATTTGTTAGTTTTTAAAAACATTATGTTTTATTAACTGTTACAAGAAATGACTCTCTTGATAGGGGAAGGGGAGGGGGAGATATATATATATATATATATATATATATAAATAAAGGTGATATAAAAACAAATATTATCAGTAGAATTTAGTGAAAACACAATCCAAGAAGGTTGTGGAGTTGTGAAGGACCTCACTCAAATTATTAATCCAGTCTAATCCAATCTAATTTTTGTCAGTTGCCTGGTGTGCAAGTCACTTGGGATACAAAGACAAAACAAAATTTAAAAAAAAATTGCCTTCATCATTCAAATCCATCAATAAACATTTATTAATTAAGCCCCTACTTTGTTCCTGACATAGGACTGAGTACTGGGGCCTCAGGGAGCGTCTAGTCCATCGAGGGGTTATAAAATGCACCTAGATTAAGTATGTAAGAGTTGCCCCTTCTTGCTCTGGACAACTCTTCTTGGTACCCTGGACTGTTGCGGTTCTTATAATTGGTCTCCCTGCTTAAGTTCTCTCCTCAGACCCGTCCTTCACCCACTCAGCTGTCAAACTGATCTGAAGATCCTATGTGACCGTTCCACTTCCCCTGTTCAGTAAACTCTGGTGGATCCCTGTTATCTTCAGGATCAAATAGAAAATCCTCTAGTTCATCTCACTGAACCCCATGTCATCAGGATCTGGTAACATTGGCCTCTTTGCTGTTCTTCACACACACACACACACACACACACACACACACACACAGTGCTCCGTCTCCTCACTCGAGACATTCTCAACAGCTCTCTTCAATGCCTCCTTCCTCTCCCTGCTCATCTCTGCATCCTGCTTCCCTGGCTTCCTTCTCTCCCTAGTTAAAGCACCACCTTTTGCCAGTCCCCCTGAGATTATCTCCAGTTTATCCTGCATATATTCTGTTCACACATCATTGTTTTCATGTTGTCTCCTCATTAGACTGTGAGCTTTGTGAGATGGGGATAGAAAAGAAGGGGTGGAGAAAGAGTTTGACAGGTAGCTAAGGAGTGCTTGTTGACTGACCCTGGAAGCCATCCCCTCTCATCTACTCCAGGAGCTTTCCCACGGCTTATGTCATTCCCCCCTCTCTCGATCTATTTTTATTATCCAGCAGCTCCTATCCTGTGGACTATGAACAGATCTCCTCTACCTGAATAAGTCAATCAGCAAGTATTTATTAAGGATCTACTGTGTACCAGGCACCATGTTAGGCTCTGGGGAGACAAAGACCAAAATGGGATAGTCGCTGCTCTCATTCTATCAAGGATGACAACACATACATAAATATATGCAAAATGAATAAAAAGTAAATGGGGAGAGGGATGAAGGGTTCAGGAAAGGCTTCCTGTAGGAGATGTCGCCTTGGAAGAGTTCTGAAGGAAACAAGAGATACTAAGAGGTGGAAGTGAGCTAGCAGTGTATATTCTGTTCATTAATCCTTTTTCTGTTTGTTATTGTTTGTTTATAGGGTTCTAATTTTCCCAATGAAGACTGCATTGTCTGGCGTCCCAGAAATTTTGGTATGTTATTTCATCATTGTCATTTTCTTTCACGTGATTATTGTTTCTATAATTTACTCTTTTAACCAATCATTACTTAGGAATTCATCATTGTCTCCATTTACGTCTGTCTTTTAACTATACTCTCCTAACTGATTACTATTTTTATTGCATTATGGTCTATAGAGTATGTATTGACTATGTTTGCCTTCTTATATTGGTTTGTAATTCCTCCTTCCCTTAATACAAGGTGAGTTTTTACAAAAGTTTTGTGTCATACTGAGACATAAGTGTATTTAAGTGTACGTTTAGGAGATGCCATAATTCTTTTAGCTATAGTTTCTTTAGCAACTTTTCTTTTCAATTTTCTGTTTTCCTTTTTCTTTATCTTTCTGTTGGACTTATCCAATGCTGAGAGATGAACATTGAAATCTCCTGCCATCATTGCGTTGCTGTCAATGTCTCCACATAACTCAGGGGGTTTCCTTTATGAATTTATATACAAAGGCATTTGGAACAAATAAGTTTGATATTGGTAATAGTTTGTCGTCTGTGGTTCCTTTCAGTATAATGTAATTTCCTTGTTTATCCTTTTTATATTTTGAACATTTCTTTTTTACTTTGTCTGATATCATCCCTTGATTGCATCTTATGCTTTTTAAACTTTACTTTATGCAGAATGAATTTTTACTGCCCCTCCCCCATTTTTCTTTTGTTCATGTCTTTTTTTTTTAATGTGTTTCTATAAGGATCAGATTGTGGGGTTTTATCTTCTTATTTAATCTACCACTCTTTTTCATTTTTTTGGATTGCTTTATCTATTCACTTTTAAAATCACAAGAGCTTTGTATTTTCTTCCATTTGTCTTTTTTTTTGTTTTTCCAAATTAGGATGTATTCCCCTCTTCCTCTGTAAACACAGTATTGAATTTCTTTTGTTAGTTTAGCTTAATCTTTTTAAAGTTGTCCCTATTCCCCCTAACTCTCTTCCTTCCACTTTCAGACCCTGTTTCCTTCTCAGCTGTTATCCTTTTCCATAGTTTTGGAGTTTTACTTAAATTATTAGTTCCTTTTCCTTTCTTGCTTTTATCTAGTTATTTAATTCTTCTCTTTTTTTTTCCCTTCCAGGTAAGCAGCCAACTTTCCTTTCTGACCTTGCCACTTTTTTTTTTTTTGGTTGTTGGTTTTAACAATTTATTTTATGGGCCTCTTTCTAAAAACAATTTATTTCATCACGTTTCATCCTCCCTTTCTATTCTAGACTTAATTCTTTCATTCATGACCCTTCCACTTACTTAGTCTCTCTTCAGGTCCAGTATTTTCAGCTCTTGTCCTCTACCTCTTCTCCCCTACCCCACCTTCTTGTTATGACTCTCTCTAATAAATGCCAATTCCTACAATGACGGAGAGGATATTGTCCCATGGTAGCAGTTTTCCTGTATCCTTGATGGGGAAGTTCCTTATTGACCTTCACTCCCCCATTTGTCTTGAAATCTCCTTCATCCATGCCCTCCCATCCTCCCGGGAGCTTGGACGATCCCCTCTCTCCTGAGCCAGAATGAGTAGTCTGTCTGAGCCCCAGATCCCTGAGGGTGGCACCCATTGCAAGGTCCTCACCTTCCTCCAGAATCTCTGTTCTCCCAGAGAAGCCTTCCCCGTGGCTGTGTCTCTCACCATCTGTCCTGACAAGATTCCTCCCTTTTCTTTCACCCCCTGTCCTTGCTCATAGACCTTTGGCTTGCTCAGGGCACAGTGGATACCCCTCTGCCTGCTCTGAGGGGCCGTTCTGTTCTGCAGCTGATTCCCACAGGAGAAGTTGAGCCCTTGATCTTCCAGGCCTCTCTCTGCAGCCTCACTTCTCCTCCTCCTTGGGGCGGCCCTCTCCTGGCTCTTCATTGCAGTCCTGCTTGAGCTTTGGTTGTTTGGTGGGTGGTTGTTCTCTGCATTGATGTTGGAGGAGTCGCTTCGTTAACAGCAGCCGTTCAGGCCGAGCTGTCCACGTGTCCTTCACGCCAAGCCTGCCCAGACCTTTGCTGAGGCATCCGCTTTCCAGCCTTCAGGACACTGATGTGCACCCAGGCCCTTCCCCAGGCCTGTGAGAGATGACTGATGGAGGTTCAGCAGTCCCATCTGCTAGGCCTGCACAGCTTCTCCGTCCTGGGGAACACACAGGCCTCGTCAGGGGAGCTCCATTGGGGTGACGAGGGAGGGGCTTTGTGCCCTTCTTTTCTGGTTCCTCTCAGCTGGTTTTTCCTCTTCTCAGCCCGGAAAGTATCTTCTGGACAGAAGATACGACAGCACAGAGTTGGGGAGTCTTCCCTTCTCTCTTCTCAGTCAGCCAGGAGTGTGTGTCCTTTCCCTCCTCTGACCTTCCTCCAGCCCATTTCACAGATTACATGGCCATCAGCCATGCTTCAGGGCCTCTGTCTGTGGTTCACTCCGGCACTCTTGGTGTCTCTCCTGCAACCTGGACGTCTATAGGGCTCTGGACAGGAAGGACAGGATGGCCTCAGGAACCTTAGGAAGTGTGTTTGGCGGGGGGTAAAGGCAGGATGGCAGAGGATCAGAATTCAAATCCTGCCCCTCTGATGACCTGAGTGACCTTAGTCAAGTTCTTTATCCCATCTGAGCTTTATTTTTCTCATCTGTAAAATGGAGACATTTGGCTCAATGGCTGTGAAGCCCCTGTGAACCCGTGCTGAGGCAAGACCCTGGCAAAGGACACCTGTCTGACCCTTTGCTTTTAGAGGGTTTGCAAACCTAGGCCTTGAGGATTCACGGGATTTGCCCAAGGTCACATGGAGTCAATGACAAAGATTGGAGCCTAGGCTTCTCATCTTCAGCTCTAGACATCTTTCTGCTTCACTGTAGTATCTCTGATGTTCACAGCTGAGTTGTGCTGTATGACCTTTATAAAGGTGCAGGGGTATGTGTGTGTAGTAGTAGTAGTAGTAGTAGTAGTAGTAGTAGTGGTAGTAATAGTAGGAGTAGGAGTAGTAATGGTGGTGCTGGTGATGGTGGTAGCAGTAGTAGAAGTAGTAATAGTGGTAATTAATGGGGTGGTGGTGTTAGTAGTGATAGTAGGAGTAGTAATAGTAGTGGTAATGATGGTGATGATGATGGTGGTGGTGGTGGTAGTAGTGGTATTAGTAGTAGTAGTAGGTTTAATGAGCTGAGGGGGCTTCCTCAGTGATTGTGACAGTTGGACCATAAGGTGACTGAGACTCAGGGGAGCATCCAGGGGTCCAGAAATACATGGCTGGGTCACCATGTGCAGGTGCCTTCACGCACTATGTGTGCTGTGGTTGTGTTGAGGCTTTGCCTGCTACCTTCCCATTGCCTGGGGATCCGTTTTCCAAGGTTGGATGAGCTCAAGATGACCAGGCCTTCCTGGCCCAGGCTGAGGCTACATCTCTGATCAAGTAGCTGCTGGAGGCCTTGCGCCACCAGCCTTGGGTTTGGATGGAGTGTCCACTTATAACAACAAGGCGGTGAGCTCCATCATGCAACTGTACTTTCTTGGTTCTTTTAGACTCCCCCTCCCCGATGTGTTTCATCTGTGTCATCCGTGCCTGGGTCCTCAATATTTCCTTTTAGAGAGCTGCTTCTCTATGTCCCTTTGAGTCTGGGATCCTCCCGTCCCCTGATTTCTTTGACATCGACTTTTCTGCAGTCCAGGGTACACAATCATCTGCACGTTTGAAAGGGTCAGAACGTCCCCAGGGTGTCCCTCAATCCTGCTTTAGGGGCAGATTCTCTTTACGGGCCAGAATCTGGTCCAGGTTTCTAGCCAGCTGCCTCCATCAGTAGCATTTCTATTTAGAAGGAGGGATTTATGAGGAGATCAGTGAAGAGATGGACCGTATGCTGACTCGACCTTCTCCCAGGATGTCTCCCATCCCTGGAATGCTCCCCTGACTCACTTCCATCTCCTGGAATCCCCAGCTTCCTTCCTTCTCAGCTCAACAGCCACCTACCTACTTATGCCTGTATTTGGAACTATACTCTTGCCCCCCAAATTATTAGACTATGTGTACCCTTTGGCCCAGTAGTACCACTACCTGTACCCAAAGAGACCAAAGATGAAGGACCCATGTATACGAAAGTGTTCATAGCAGCTTTTTCTGGAGTCATTGTTGTTGTCCTTCTTTGAAGAGGACCAATGACATCATGGGTGATGTCTTGACTTGTTTGTGAACTGGATTTAGGTGACGCGTAGTTGCACAAAGTCGCCAGCCTAACTCTCTCTTCCAGAATCATTGAAATCTGGTGGCAGGACAACAGTCAGAATGACTGGTGATGGCTTGGGATGCAGTGGGTGACCTTGGTGTCTTCTATGTCTAATCAAGCTCTAAGGGTTCCACAGCGCCTGCTTCAGCCACCTTCATGGCCATTGGAACAAATTGTTGTTGTCTGTCCAGTCTGCCAGGGGAAGTCTTCACATCTGGGTATCAAGGGTGGTCTCAGTCCAATGGAACATTATTATAGACTTAAATTGATTGCAAAAATATTGTCTGGGTACATAGATTATATTTGACAGCAGAATAGGAAACTATTCAAATGTAACTAAATAGTCCAACCAAGGATATGATTCCTGAGTATGTGCTATAAATGAAAACATCACTGTAACATCTTTTCAAAAAGGCTGGGTGCTGGTATTGAGTCTTCTGCTTTTTTATTTAATAGGTAAAACACCACATGCCACATTCACCACATTGTCTTTCTTTCTCTCTCTCTCTGTTTCTCTCTGTCTCTCTGTCTCTCTCTATCTCTCTGTCTCTCTCTCTCCCTCCACCTTCTCAGTCTCTCTCTACCTCTGTCTCTGTCTCTCTTCCCCCCTCTCTCCCGATCTCTGTCACTCTCTGTCCCTGCTCCTTTCTCCCCTCCCTCCCTCTTCTCCCCACTCCTCTGTCTTCCTACTTCCTTCCCTCTGATGGTGACTAAACTGGGCAAGCTTGCCCCAGGGCCCCGTGAGTAGTGCTCCATTTTTATTTCTTCTCTACTTCCTGACTTAGGCTACCTCTGAGAGAGCTGAGGAAGGGTACGCTGGCTATGATGGTTCCAAACTTCTGCACTTCCTTGGTGTGAAACATGTTGTCATCAAAGAAGATGTGGGGCCGTATTTTCGCCAAGATGGGCCCCTTGGGAGCCCCGGCCAGGAAGAGAGCCTCATCGATCTCGAGGCCCCAGGCATGGAGTGTCTTGAGCACGCGGGCCCCAGACGTGGCGGCGCTCCTGGCCGTGATGAGGTAGGTCCTGATGGGGCAGAGTAGCCTCTCATTCTTGGTGTAAAACTTCTTTTGCAGCCGCCCTAAGTCTTCTAGGAATTGTTTCAAGGGACCCTGGCAATTGAACAGACAGTAATGATAAAGAGCATTTGGAAGAACTCGGGGAAGTCCTAGATATACACAAATCTCAGACTTTGTTTTTGTTCATGGGTTACATACACAGGGCTCATGGTAGCCTGTGGATCTTTCTGTGCCTTGATTTCCCCCATATCTCCTCTTTCATATGGTGATGAGGAAAAGGATATATAAGAAGCTCAGAACTACTGACCCTCATGGACATGGCCTCCAGATCCCATAGTCCCCTGTGAGAGATGAATGTTGCCTCTTCCTTTGTGACTCCTTCCCTCCCACTTGGGATATATAGACCCCAGACCCTGGCTTTCCAGCTGTCTCCTTTCTGGCTGTAATAATAGTTTGCATTCCAGGCACATGGACTCCTCTCTATCTCTCCTTCCTTCCCTTCCCTCTTCTTTCTCTGGGACTGTGCTCCTCCTGATCCTTCATGTCCGAAGTAGGCCTCCCCACCAGGGATTTTGTGCCTAAGACCTGAATCCACTTCCAGCCTAGCCCAGCGAATGAATTCCCACCCAGGGACCCAGAAGAAGACAGCAGTCCTTGCATGGGCACAGAGTGCATCTGGCCAGACTGCCCAGGGAATTGGAGCCGGATCTTCTGGTTGGAAAGGTGATTTGGATGCACAGGAGCCCTTGAATAAGAAGGGATCACCTCAGGAGGATTAGAAGGCAGAGTCACTCTTGATAGCTGGTGACTGCCTGCTGAGGGGTGACTGCACAGCTCTTCATCGTCTTCCCGAGTGCTGCAAAGACATGTTGTCACCTGGGCATGTGTGTAGACCTCCAGACCTGTCTGGCCAGGGGGCTTCTTGTAGGCACAAATCCTACTGGTAGAAGCAAGGCTGCCATGGTACCCACCATGGTACCTACCGTACCCACCATTATATGGGAAGCAGTGCCAAAGATGATGGGGTCTTGGGGAAGAATGGAGGCTTTCGGGGACATACACGATGTTTGCACCCTTGCTTCCGATTCCAGGCAATGGAAAATTTGGGAAGTGGACATCTCTAAGAAGATGGCATCTGAGAATGGGTCTGGGTCTTTGTGCCTGGCCTCAAACCCAAGGATGAAGGTTGGCCTAACCAGGACTGGCAGGAATGCTTTCACACAGAACGGAGAGGAGGGAGACATGTGCTTGTTGTACTATTGTGAATTGAGAAGCCCCCGTGAAGGGCTGCCAGGGAGGAACGGAAATAACAAGAGGGTGCCTTGAATGCAGGGCAGAGAAGAGAGAAGGAGGAGTCAGGCCTTGCCTTGGCCCGAGAAGTGTCTATGCAGATGTCGACGTCGTGGGTAGCTATGAGACCCAACTCCGGGACGCAAGTTGGACCTCCGAAATGATGGTGATTTGTCTGCAAAGGATATCAGGATTTTGGGACACAGCCAGCAAACATCCTCCTAAATGTCCCTGACACTTGGTCAGGTGAAGCCCATTGCTGAACTTGGTGATGATGATCCACACCTCTTTTCAAAAGGAGTGTGTCAAGTAAATGGATGATGCTGGTGGAAGTGGAGGGCATTGGGTAGCATTCCACTTTTCAGTAGAGATCTTTGTGTGAGGAAATGCCAGAATAAAAGAGGGGAAATAACCCGAGGAAAATCTAGGTGAATATCAACAGGGGCAGAAAAAGAAATAGCAATGTTATTGGGATATGTGAGAGAGCACCGGGATGAAAAGAAGAAATAGATGTGTCATTCAGGAAACATCACAAGCCCAACGTGGAGGTGACAGAGGGTTTCAGCTTTTCAGGCATCTGCTGGAGACACAAAAGTTGGAGAAATAGAGGCAGCTAATTCATTGAATGAGAAAGGCAGAATCCAAAAAAACATCTTGGCAGGACAGAATATTGGGCCAAATATATGGTAAAAGAAGATAGGGATAAATGTAAAATCTCATGAGTGTTTGGAAGAAATCTGGGAGCTTTAATGGCTTGCAAACCTAATATGGGCCAGCAGTTCACCATGGAGGCCTGAAAAGCTATTGAAATCATAGGCCGTACGAATATGTCCATCGTGTTCCAGATGAGAAATGTGCCCTGGTGGAGGACTTTAATACTGAGCACCAACTTTTTGGAAGTGCAGTGACAAGATGTAATAGGTCTAGACGAGCATGACTGGATTGGTGAATATGCCAAGGAAAGAAGATTGGTTGAAAGAAATTAGTAGGAAGACAAATTGATCATGAGAATTGCTACATAATGCTTAGAAGACATGAAAAATAGGACATGAGAATTGCCTTTGAACCTCTGTCAACTTGTTCTATATCATTGGAGGACAGAACTGAGAGCAAAATGAAAGTTGCAAGATTCTAATATTAAGATGCTTCTTCTTCCTCTTCCTTTTCTAAATTTTGTTTGTAACCTGTGATTTTATTGTGTAAGGTGCTCCCAGTGAGGAAACTCCCTTCACAGTGTTTCTGAACACCTAACTGTAATTGCACAGGCCCCATCTCCTTCTGCCTACTCTGTCCTGGGCCCTCTTCTATTTCTCTATGATTTCCTTTGGTGGTTTGGTCAGCTCCCTTAGATTCAGTAATCATCTCTGCAGATAATTCTCAATTTTATTTATCCCATCTTAATCTTTCTCCTGATTTCTTGTCTCCCATCTCCAGTGACTTGTTGGATATCTTGAATTGGATGTCTATTTGAGGAGGCATGGTTTCCAGAAATAAGGAGTTAATAATTCCTTTATTCTGTCCTGATCAAGAGACCATATCTGGAGTATTGTGTTCTGTTCATTTAAAAAACAAAACTAAAAACACATCCTTGATAATCTGGAGAGTGTCTAGAGGAGGACCTCTAGTACATGTCATATGAAGACCAGTGGACATAACTGGGTGAATTTATCCTGGAGAAGAAAAGATAAGATGGTTGAGGTAGGCAGATGGAAGATGGTTGCCATGTGGAAGGATTAGACTTGGTCTGTTTATTGACTGCCGTGGACAGACCCAGGAGCAATAGATGGGCCTGGAAAGGGACCAGTGGATGCTTGTTGTCAGGTGGAGAGGACATGGCAGGGGAAGGCTTCCTAACAATTAGAGATGGCCAGCAGTGGAGTAGGCTGCTTCAGAAGGGAGGTTCCCCTCCCCCCCCATTGTGGATCATTAAACAGGTTCAGGAGAACCACTTGTCAATTAGGTGGGAGTATAGATTCCTTTCAGGGGTGGTTTGAACCAGATGGCAGTTGTGGTCCCTTCTGACTTTAATATGCTTTCATTTTCTGATTCTTTGTAAGAACCTAGAAGCAAGAAGGCCAGCTCTATTGGAATAATGTAGATGAGAGTGCCTGAGAGTCTGGCACAAGGTTTGATCTGTGAGAGTGGAGTGAAGGGAACAGAGATGAGAGATGGTAAGGAGGCAGATTTTGCAGACTTATGGTACAGGATACCGAAGGAGAGGACGAAGCCTGGAACGACCATGGGAAGGTGGCAATGCCCTTCACAATACAGGGAAGTTGGGACAGATTGGTTTAGGTAAAAAGATGATATGTTGTATTTGATGTTGAGTTTTAGATGCTGGTACAATCAGCTGGAAATATGGGACGAGAATTCTTACGAGGAGTAAGAGCGAGATGTATGGCTTTGGGAGGTGATCGTTGATGAGATGATGAAGGTGTGGAGGGTAGAAGGAGAAAAGGGCCCAGAACAATGTTGGGGGAGGACACCCACATTTAATGGGGAGTGGGAGCTGGAGGATGTTTCGGCAAAGGAGATTGAGGTGAAGTGTCAAAAGAAGTGAGAATGTCCAGGTAGAGGGGGTGATCAGCAGTATAAGAACTCACTGAGGAATTTCAATAGAGGGGAAAGGTCAGTAACCATATGGCAAAGGAGGGAGAGGGCTGACAAGTGAGTGGCTGTTGAGGAAGTCATGACAACAGGAGAAGATCGTGTTTTCTGGAGTTTGGCCATGAAAAAACAGACTCGAGAGGAAGACGGGGCCACATGAGAGCTTCGCTGTCCATCCACAGAGAAGGAGTCAGCAGACATGAAAGCTGAATGAAGGAGGCGGTGGATAGTAAAAGAGATGTTTTCCTGGAGGTGGGATGGGGTTCGACTGGGCGCCCAAGAAAAGGTGTTATACTTGATTAAGAGAAGAGTCACCTCATTCTTAGTACATAGGTCAATGTAGAGGAGGATAGGTTTGGGTGGGGGAGGAGAAAAGCAGGGACTCCTGAGAAATGAGCTCCAGGGCCGTTGACAGAACCTTGTGGATGGGGCAGGATCCAGGCTCGTGGAGGGAATGCCTGTGCCCTAGTGGTCCCTGAAGTGTTGATCCAGGAGCCTGTTTGAGCTTGCCTTCAGTGGGCTCAGCCTCTGAGAATCCAGGGTTCACTTCCTCATCCAGATGAGGATTTGAAACAGGCACCTTAGGTATAAAGTGGGACTTGATCTTCAAGGAACTCACAGGTACTATGAAAAGGTGACATCATGACATCACAAGACAGCAAAGAAAGCCCCTGTGGAGTGGTTATAGGAGGGCCTATAGGCAAAGTCACACAGGATGAACTGGCAGAGATGGGCCAGCATCTGCATCAACTGAGGGGACGTCTACTCTATAAGATTCCAGGGGCAGACAAGCAGGAGGAGTCCCACAGGACAGCCTACAAGTATGAGACTGAGGAGGACAGCAGCATGGACTGAGGGGAGATAAAAATGGTGTGTTTTTATCTGTACTTGTTTTCAAAAACATATTGACTTTCCAATATATGCCTTCTTCTTTCCTTCCCAGAAAGCCATTTCTTGTAACAGGGAGAAAGAAATAAAGGAAGGGGGAGAGAGAGGGAGAGAAAGACAGAGAGAGAGAGACAGAGACAGAGATAGAACGGAGACAGAGATGAGGAAGGAGAGAGAGACAGACAGACAGAGAGAGAGAGACAGAGAGAGAGACAGAGACAGAGATAGAACGGAGACAGAGATGAGGAAGGAGAGAGAGACAGACAGACAGAGAGAGAGACAGAGAGAGAGACAGAGACAGAGATAGAATGGAGACAGAGATGAGGAAGGAGAGAGAGACAGACAGACAGAGAGAGAGACAGAGAGGGAGAGACAGAGACAGAGATAGAACGGAGACAGAGATGAGGAAGGAGAGAGAGACAGACAGACAGAGAGAGAGAGAGACAGAGAGAGATTAGTTTAGCAGAACTACCAGCTCATTACTCAGTCTGACAGTGTTTCGTTCCCCATCCGCAGGACTCTTGCTGCTGTCTCTCTGGAGGGTCCAGGTCTGGGCTCTGTGATGATGCAGTGTTCGTTCCTGTTTTGTGTTGCCATGGCTATCGTTGCCATTGCTGTGGTTGTTCTTCCATTTCCATGGCCATAGGCACTGTGTATATTGTTTTCTTGGTTCCATTTGCTTCACTTTTTATCAGTTCATATAAGGCTCCCAATGTTTCTCTGAATTCTTCAGTCATCCTTCCTTAGATTTTAGTGATATTTTCATTGCTTTCACATACCGCAATGGGTTTATCCATTTTCCAGTAGGTGGCCATCTACTTTCTTTCCAGTTGTTTACTGCTACTATAAATTTTTTGATCTATATAGAATCTTTATTTCTGTCTTTCCCTTCTTGAGGTAAATGCCTAGCACTGGGATTTCTGAATCAAAGGGTATGGATAAGGCAAAAGAAAGTAACTGAAAAAATGTAAAAGGGACTAGTAAAAATAAAGTTTAAAATAAAATCAGTTGTAAGTAACATTAAGATCTAGTAAAGTAAAAAAATACTTTTTACAGATGGTAAAAGTAAATAAGGAAGAAGAAAAGTTTTGGAGGTCCTTCTGTTCATGCTATATACAGGTCAGTTGAAGGAACTTGGTGTGTTGAACCTGGAGAAGAACAGCTTGAGAAGCACCTTCGAAATCTCCTCTGTTTTGAAAGGCTTTCACATGGAAGTGGGGCCAGACTTATTCTGTGTTTCCAGAGGGAAGCACCAGGAGCAAAGAGGGGCCATTGCTAGGGGACAGATGGCAGCTGGACATCAGGTTAAACTTCCTAATGGGCTGACCCAAAAGGCAGTGGTTCCCCTTCTCTGGAGGCCTTCAAGCATAACTGAGCTGAACAGCTCAGTGACCTTTTCTCTGGGATGTTACAGAGAGGATTTTTTTCAGGGTACGCGTTGGCCTTGAGGGTCACAGAGCTTCCTTTTAAAATGTTGGAATTGTGTAATTTTATCAGCATTGAAAGGGAGGTATCAGAGAGGAGCTCCGGCATGACCCATGAACAGGGACGTGGTCGAATTGAATCACTTCCCCTACCAGCAAAACGAAGGGTTAGGATTAGATTGATTCATTAGATCATTCATTCTACCGCTGACATTTGGTGTGTAGGAAAGACTTGTTTACTGTACCTGGGCAAGAGGTTTGTCCTTACTAAATGGGTCTTGCTGAGAAGTCTTGTTTGGTTCTGGTGTGTTGACGTTCTGTTCAAAGTCATCGGAGAAAAGGAGAGCGTCCCCGTCAAAAGCCACTCGGAGTTGTGTATCTGAGAATGGCAAGTCTTTATTCCCCAGGTACATTGTAGCTGCGGCAATCCCTGGAAACACGTGGCACGGCTCTGTTAGCACCATCGCAGGGCCCCTGGGACCTCTGCCCCCCTCCTTTGTTTAAACTTTTTTTTTAAATTATGCAACTAATATACGTCAACAAATATGGACATTCTCCTATACAAAGAATAAGCAAAAAAGAGAGTCGTATATGAAATTTCTGTTAAAGTACCACCCATAATTTAAAAATATTTATCAAATTTAACATAACATTGCCTTGCTTTCCTATGCCCAACTTTTGCTGAGCATGTGTGTAAATTTTTCATTTGCAGTCTTTCCTTCTCTTTTCTCATCTTGCACTGTCCATCCCCTGCTCCCGAATGGAAGAAGCATCAGTTAAATACTTATCCTGTGGCAGGTACTGTGCTAAGTGCCGTAAATACAAAGAAAAGTAAAAACATCCCCTGCCTGTGAGGGGCTCCCAGTCTGATGGGGAGGAAACATGTAAATAACCAGGTACAAGTAAGATTTATTCAAAGCAGGTGGGAGATAATTTCAGAGGAAGAGGCTATTCCCTAGACAAGTGGGCAAGGTTTCCTGGAAGAGGTGGTCTTTGAGCTGAGTCTTCAAAGGAGCCAGAGAAGTAGAGACAGACAGGAAAGGAAAGAACATTTCAGGCCTGGGAGATGGGAGGTGGAGGGTCCTGTGTGGAAAACAGCCCATAAGCTAGTGCTGACAGACAGGGCAGAGTGAATGGAAGTGAGTCGGGCAAAAGAAGCCTGGAAAGGTAGGAAGAAGACAAGGTAGCAAGGACTTTAAAGGCTACAGGATTTTATATTTCATCCTGGAGGTATCAGGGATGGGTAAAACACCTGAAATGGAACAAATATGGGTGATGTGACCAGGATGATGTGGAGGACATCCTGGCTGGTGACTATAGAATTGTAAGTGTGTTGAAGGGCCGATGTACCAGTTATCTGTGGAGGAGTGAAAGATACCAAAGGCATGGAAACCCATGTCAAGTCTTATTAATACAGAGAAAGGTGTCTGAGAGAACATTAGTGACTACCAACGTAGAAGCCTGCTGTCTCATCCACACCAGATCTTGGTGCGGGTCATGTGTGTAGAGAGTGAGGGCATCAGTAATGATTTCTTCTGCAAGCAATAATGAACACTAGCCCAAATCTTTGTGTATCACAATAAAATAAAAGATGAAGATAATTTAAGATTTTTTGTGCTTATTGATTGTGAATTTAAAAAAAAAGAAAAGATGATTCAGTGGGAAATAATGCTACCTTACAGGGACTTCTATCACTAAGTGAACTTCCAGGGTGAAGAGACTACTGTAGAATTGTAGAAAAAGTTTGGAGTAAGGGGGGCAGACTGGAGAGTAACAAAGATGGGACTGGATATTCTCCTTAAAATGGAAGGACTGAGCAGAATCAGCCAATCAGAGAAAGAGGCCACAGGGCAAACGGTAGAGTGAAGAGGTTCCTGTGGCCTAGTAGAAAAAGTCCAGAGACTCAGGAGTCCATGCAGCCTGGAAAGGAAAAGAGCAAGGAGGCCAGAGTTACTGGATCTTAGCATGTGTGGGAGGTGGCATACGGTGTAAGAATACTGGAAGAGGAGAAAGAGATTAGGTTGTCAAGGCCAGCCACCAGCGCTTATTGAGCTGGGGATGGGACATGCCAGGGCACAAGCTGCCCTTGGAGAGGAGAAGCAAGAAAGGGAGAGACAAACATGATTCCTAGGTTGCAGTGCTGAATGACTGGGGCAGTGTTTGGAACGTTAAGAAGGGGAGAAGGTTTTGGAGGAGAGATAATTCAGTTTTGGCCTTGCTGAGTTTAAGATTTCTGAGGGACATCCAGTTTGAGATGCGTAGTAGGCAGTTGGAGATGGAAGACTGGAGCTCAGAAGAGAGGTCAAGGCTGGATAAGTAGATAATGAGAGTCATTAGCGTAGATATGATAATTGAATACATGTGAACTGATGAGATTACCAAGCACAGTGGTGTAAAGAGAGACAAGGGCCTAGAAAAGAGCATTAAGAAGGGTTGCAAAAGATCTTAATGAAGAACAAGCAAAGGAGACCTAGAGGGAGCAACCACACAGGAGAGAGGGGTCCTGAAAACCCAGAGAGAAGAGAAGAACAAGGAGAGAGTGACCCACAGTGTCCAAACTGCAGAGAAGTCCGAGGTCAAGAGGAGTGAGAAAGAGTCACTGGATTTGGTGATTGAGAAGTCATTAGCAGAGAGAAGCTGTGCACTAGGGCGAAAGAATGTTCTTGATCCATACTAGGCTATCCCCAGATCTATGCTGGGGCAATGGGGACAATAACAAACTGCCAGCTTTTTCACCATCCCCTCAATTCTGAGTCACAAAGCCAGCGTGGACTGAAATGACCTGCATGCAAAGGTGATGTTTTCTGCTAGGGAGGCCCTGAATGGTGTATGAGGAAGAATTTCAGAAGCCAGCAGCAGCAGTGTGGCTTAGACTCCAGATACAGAGAAGGGAATCACTTCCAGCTTCTAGCTCAGTTTGATGCCTACGGAGGAATAACCTGGGTAGGAATTCTAGACCGAAGGGGATTCCACAGTTATGTCATTCTGAGCCAACAGAGCTTTCCAGTTGGCTGATAGAGGCTGAGTCTAATAGTTTTCTGCTGGTACTTAGACCTAGACCCAGGTCAGGAACTTGCAGAGCTCAGGTGGGGCAGCAATCAGATTGTGCCCCAGATCAGACCACTTTGGGAGCACTGAAAGCGGCGGGACCCCAGCTTGTCCCTGAGATCCTGAAATAACAATTCTCAGCACCCCAAGAAAGGAGCAAGAGGACTAGCTGAGACTTTCTCACAGAGCCAAGCCCTAGAATTGCATCTGAAGTCCGGAAGCAGGCCGGAAGAATTAGGAAAAAAGAAAAAAAAAAGAATTCAACTACAAAGAGCTATTACGGTGGCAGGGAAGCTCAAGGTACAAAGCCAAAAGAAGGGAATGATTCCAAAACATCTACAGGCATATCCTTAGAGAAAAACACAACTTGAGCAAAATTCAATAAGAATTCTTGGAAGAGATGAAGCAAGGTTTTTTTTTAAGTTAATTTTTTTTTCTACAAATGAAATAAGAGCACTTGAGGGGAAAATGGAAAAGAAATGAGAACTCTGGAAGAAAGAATTGGAAAGGGAATTTGTAGCTTGGAACAAGTGGTACAAAACCTTATCTAAGCAATCCTTGAAAATTAGAATGGACCAAATAGAAGCCAATGATTTCTTGAGACAACAGGAACTATTAAACCCAAGTCAAAAGACTGAAAAAATAAATACAAGAAAATATAAGTTGTCTCAAAGCAAATAAAATAAAAATAAAAATGGACCTAGAAAACAGATATAGGAGAAAAAAAAATTAAGAATCATTGAACTATCTAAATACTATGGCTAAAAAAAAGAGCCTGTGTGTTGTATTTTCAGAAATCATAAAAAAAAAAAAACTACTCAGATATTTTAGATCCAAAGGACAAAGGGGAACTAGAAAGAATCTACCAATTACCTTTTGAAATCTACCATTTTACTTTCTCCAAAGTGAAAACTCCTAGGGACATCACGGCCAAAATCCAGAGTTTCTACATCAAAGGAAAATACTGCAAGCAGCCAGAAAGAAAGACTTCAAATACTAAGGAGCCATAGTCAGAATCACACACTATTGACCAGCCACAACCATAAAGCAGAAAAGAACTTGCAATACCATATTCCAGAGCTTATAGCCAAGAATAACTTATTCAGGAAAACTGAATATAATTGCTACAGTGTGGAAGTTGGATCTTTAATGAAGTAGAGGACTTCCAAGTATTCCTCATGAAAAGACCAGAGCTGTGTAGAAACTTGGAAGTGCCAACATAGGAGTTAAGAGAAACATAAAAAGGCAAACATGAATGTACAATGATAAGGGACTAAACAAGGATAAACTGCTTACATTCAAATATGGTGAGAAGATACATATGTCCCTCTGGACCTTATTGTCATCAGGGGTCACAGAGTCAATCTAATTAGACGAGGCATGAGAGCGTTTCTGTTGTAACTTGGTGATCTTGGGGATTTTAAGGCCATTGGAGCTGCTGCCACACAGGATTATTCGCAATGTCAGGGTCTGACAGCCTTAATACAGATATCTACCAGATCAGTTACAGCATTGATGACCAAACACAGCAGTCTTATGGTTATACTGGAGGGGGACCATATAGTAAACAGTAGATGGCTATGACCACAAGGCAGATCTGTCCCTCCAGACAAGAAGAAATCACAGCAGCCTTATATAGACATATTTTCCAGCCAACATAGGCATACACTCCATCTACACCACAGTCATTTTATGGAAACAACTTAGAGGATGAGCCACCTTTATTAGTAGAATTAGGAATCAATTTTGATCATGTCTGGCAGAAAACACTAACAGTATTGCATTTATTAAAAGTAGCAGCTGGCATCATCATGAATGAAATTGGTTTGGCAAGACCAGTGGTTTTCTGTCTAGCCTTTGGAGTCATATGGTTACTGGCTGGTAAAAAATCAGTTTGAATGGGTATATGGGATCAGTGCAATTGAATGTTTAGGAATAGTTTGTCTGTTAAACTTGATGAGTATGATGAATGTCTCATTTGGTTAGGTCACTGTTGTACTTGAATATTATTGCCTTCTTTCAATGATCCTAACTTCCAGCTTTGCAGAAAATGGTGGGAGCTTTTCTCACTGCTGGGATTATTGGATGGTGTCATTTCTCTGCTTCCAAAATGTCAATTTCTGCCTTAGCCAAGGGAGCATAGCAGCTTCTAGTAGAACATCCTTGTGCTTTGTTATATGAAGTCTTTGGCCTTATTTCCTTTTTTTTTTTTTGACTTAATATCTTGGATATTGGACATCAGTGGGCCAAATGCTAAAAATATAAAGGACGTTGAACTCTTAAATTGGACCAGCAGACTGTGCTACACCATCATTATCATGTAGTTTTAACTCTTGACTTTTGAAGCAATAGGAATAAACATGCAACTCTTGTTCATTTTTACATAACTTTTGAATATTTGGATTTACCTGTGGTGTGTCTTGCTTTAAGTGTAAGTGTTCATGTTTATACAGATAAGATGTAATGTTTCTTTCCTGTTCCTACGGCTTTTAGAAAACAACTTTGTTTCTTGAAAATTATTCTGATTGTTAATTTATTTTTATGAAACAAGGGTGAAAGAAACCACACTTAACTGGTCTCTCTGGAAACTGTACCATGTAACATATTAGTAAAGATGCTGCAGTGCTAGATCTGTTGCAAAACTTGTTTCCCAAGGTGTAGAAGAAAATTTGAGTACACTTGAACCAAATGCATTTGAAGTGAACATGCGATTCCTGATGTGGTGTGTTATGAATTTGCACTTCAAAAGTTATTCCTTTAAATTATGTAAAAGAACTTGCTAAAATGCAGAAGGGTACAAACAACTCAGTTTACTTCTGATGGACTTGAAATGTGAAAAAAGCTTTAGATATTGGCATTAACACAAACTAGAAGGGAGGAAGATCAAGGGGTAGGTGAAGGAAGCAATTAGTCCTAAGCAAAGAAAACTCTAAGGATATACAAAAATATTTATAGCTCTTTTAAAGTGGCAAAGAGTGGAACTCTGAAGGAATGCTTATAAACTGGGGAATGGATGAACAAGTTATGGTATATAAAAATGATGAGATACTATTGTACTGAACTCTTATCAATGTAATGAACAACTGGGATACCAGAGGTGATGCCCACCCTCTGATAAGAGAGGTGAAGGATTCAGAATGAGACAAATATATGTTTTAGATATGGCCAGTGCAGAAAGTTATTTTGATTGTCTATACATGTTTGCAATAGATTTTGTTTTTCTTGTGTTCTCAGTTGGGGGATGGGAGGGACAGTTAGGGTGGGAGAGTGAGAAGGCAGATTGTTGGTTGACTATAACAAATAAAACATTATACAATTTTAAAAAAAATCTTGCCAAATTGGAAGACAGATAAATCATTGGTAACTTTGGAGAGAGCAATTTTTTTTGAACAATGATGTCAGAAGCCAGACTTTATACCCTACACCTATCAGATTTGCTAATATGACAGAAAAGGAAAATGACGAATATCAGAGGGGAAGTGTGGAAATTGAGACACTAATGCTCTGTTGGCGGACTTGTAAACTGATTCAACCATTCTGTAGAGTCATTTAGACCTATGCTATAAAACCATACATACCCTTTGACCCAGTAATACCACTATTAGTTCTGTATCTCAAAGAGACAAAAAACAAAAAGGAAAAGGACTATATGTACAAAAATATTTGTAACAGGCAAAGAATTGGTAATTGAGAGGATGTCCATAAATTGGGGAATGGCTGAGCAAGTTGTTATATATAATTGTGATAGAATACTACTGTGCTATAACAAATGATGAGCAGGATGCCGTCAGAAAAACCTGTTACATTAACTGATGCAAAGTGAAGTGAGCAGAACCAGGAAAACATTACACACAGTAACAGTAATATTGTACAGCAATCAGCTGTGAATGACTTAGCTATTCTCGGCAATATATTTGATCCAAGACAATTCTGAAGGACTTGTGAGGAAAAATACTATCCATTCCTAGAGAAGGAACTGATGGAATTTGAATGCATATCAAAGAATACTTTTTAAGCTTTCTTTCTTTTCCTTTTTTTTAAACTGTGTTTTCTTTCACAGCATGACTAATATTGAAATATTTTGCATGACTGTACATGTGTAATCCATATCAAATTGCTTACCATCTTAGGTAGAGAGGAAAGGAAAGAAGGAAGGAGAGAATTTGGAACTCAAAATTTAAAAAAAATTGTTAAAATTGTTTTTATATGAAATTGGGAAAAAAATAAAATATTAAGAATGAAAAAGAAAGAAATTTTTTATTATTATTATTATTATTATTATTGGTGAAGCAGTTGGGGTTAAGTGACTTGCCCAGAGTCACACAGCTAGTAAATGTTATGCATCTGATTCCAGATTTGAACTCAGGTCCTCCTGACTCCACGGCAAGTGCTCTATCCACTGCTCCACCTAGCTGCCCCAAGAAAATTATTTAGGAGTCTTAACAACCAGAATCAAAAGGAGGAAGAGGAACAGGAGGAGGAAAAGAAGAAGGGGGGGGAAGAGAGGGAAAGGGGAAGGGGAGGGGGAGAAAGAGGAGGGGGAGAAGGAGGAGGAGGAGAAGGAGGAGGAGGACAAGAAGAAACAGCTAGGCTTTAGTCAATTAAGAGGATGAGAGGAAAGGAAATGGAGACACCGTTTGTAGATTACCTTCTCAAGGACTTTAGTCCTGAAAGGGAGGAAAAATATTGGACCATAGAGACCAAGGATAGACACGTCAAGTCAGAGTTTTTTGAGGATTGCTGAGATGTGAACATATGTGTAAGGAGTAGGGAAGTGGCAGGAGACAGGGACAAATTGAATCACAGAAGGTAAGTAAAAGAGTGAAGATGGTAGTGGAGCAATCTGCAAGAGAGGACGGGATGTGTCCTCTCCTGTGCGTGTAGAGGGCTTTGCCTTGGTAAACAGGACCATCTTTTCGTGTGAGACGGGGTGAAGGAAGAGATAGTGAGAGACAGTAAAAGAAAAAAGCCTGATGCTACTTGATGTGGGTCAGACAAGGCTTACTAAACCACACACCTGTCTGTATAGCTGGTAGGGTGAGGAAAGGGAGAGGTAAGAGACCTGTGAAAAGACTTAACAAGATAAGAGAGGGTCGGATTTTTGTCTGGATTGCCCATTAGTGCAGAGCGTTGGAGGCACATGGAACTCCTCCAAGTTTGTAAGGAACAAATGTGAAATACCGCGTTGGTCCTTGTACTTGTTTGTCGCATTGTACAATCTCGCCAAGTTGGACTCAATGGATTAGGGGCCATTGCATTAATTCTCTAAGCCGTGTAAAATGAATCAGTTGAATCACATGACCCTTGAGGTCTCCTCCAGCTCTAAGTCCTCAGATCCATCTGTCAGCAACAGGGATTAGGGATTAATGGGCTGAAGTGATCAGAGAGGACTTAAAGAAGGAAGAGGCCTTTGGCCCCATTATGGTCATCGGTATTGAACTTTTTGGTATTCATCTCCCTCTCCTTTTCTTCCCCCAAACATTAAACTCCTTGAGGGTCAGGAGGTATTACTTTTCATCCCAGTATAGGGCCTTGTATGTCCTGGGCACCATTTATAAAGCTTGAAAAATTGAATTGAATGGAAGTAGGATTGATAAAGGTTGGGGAGAAGGTGTGGAAAAAGGCAGGAACAAGGAAGAAAGGCTAGAAAACCACAAACCCAGCAAAGGTTGGTAGACCAGCCTGGATGAAGCAAAGCTTTCCTGTGAAGAATCTAATGTAGAACATTAGCCTGGAAGTGGGGATTGAAGTCAGATTACAGAGGGCCTTGAATGGCAGCCTGAGGAGTTTGGACTTTATCTCATGGATGACAGGGGGTCACTAAAGGTGGAGCTGCATCACTCATTTCTTTGAGTTGTTCTTTCTTGGAATGAGTGCTTTTTCCTTTGGGAGAGAGGTAGGTGAAATAGATGGTTTGATTTACAGATGAGTGGATTGTGGGGAGTCATTTGGGGGTAGGGCTTATGTGGTGCAAGCACTGACCTCGTGGAGAGGCCCCCAAATCCTGGGTGTCATCTGGAAGCTAGCCTGGCCACTTATCCGAAAAAGGACAAATGACTTAGAGAGGTGGTACAGTTTGGTGTGGAGAAGAGAGGCAACCGCAGAGCCAGGAGGAGTTATGTTCTCCTGCCCCTGATGTGGACTGACTGTCTGACCCTGGACAAGTCACAGCCTCTTAACCATCTCCTGAGAAAGTTAGTTGCAGAGAAGATGCCATCCTGCAATGGGGGAGGAAGTTATTTCACCTGGGATGCCTGCCTTCCAATGAAATTATAGGTTTAGTATACGTTTATCTCTACAGAGTATTAAAGAAAACGACAACAGATCCCTACCTTCTTCTATGGCTTCTTGTACCTTGTCAGAATCTGCAGAAAGATATAAGTTTGTAAGATATGCCTTTAGATAGCCAATAGGGCTTTCTCCACCGGTCAGGCAGAAGCGGTCAATTAATAAGCCTATGAACAGACGAGAAAACCACTGTTAGAGAAAGGAAACATAGCGAATCCAGCCAATGCGCTAGCAACGTCACCCGTCGGAAGCGCTGCTTATACTTGGGCTCTACGATTTAAAGGTTCATTCTTCAGAGGATTTTTGTGGGCTTGTCATAGTAAGTAGTGCAAAGATTTCATAGATTCACAGTGTTTTAGATCTAGAAGGGGGCGGGTCAGAGGTCACTTAGTCATAAAAACCACAGTATGTTCTGGGCTTCTGTGAACCGAGGCTGCATTTTGTTCCACTGCTGCCTCATCAGCGTAAAGATGGTTAATTAAATCCATAGGAACTGATGAGAGCACCAAGTGGAGTGGTGTCGAGGGAGAAGATGGCCCAGTACACAGCCCTGTGGGACACTCACTGTATATTAAGCTCATTTGATCTTATAAATGTTGGAATTTAAAGCTGGAAGATAAGTTAGAGGTCCACTCCCCCCTCTCCTTTTTAGTTTAAACAAGAAAATAAACAGTGGTTCAGAAAGAGCAAATGTTTTAGCTCCTTCACCTTCCTTCACAACAAATCTTCAATGACTCCCAATTGCCTCTAGTCAAATGCAAGCTCTTCAGCCTAACCTTCAGAGCCATCCACAATTTGACTTCCCACCTCTTTCCAGGCTTATTTTATGTCATTCCCTTTTACATACTCTCCATTCCAATCAGACTAGCCATCTAGTTGTATCTCAATCACACTTTACCTCTCATTCCTTGCCTTTGCACAAGAGCTCTCTCCAATGTGTACAATGCATTCTTCCTTCTCAAAGAATACCTAGTTTCCTTCAAACTCAGCTCAGCTACCGACCCTTCATGAGATCTTTCCTGATTTCCTATCTTCTCCCTTTCTCCTCCCTCCTTCTTTCACTCCTTCTTTCCATCCCTGTGTCTCTTTTTGTCTTACTGTCTGTTCCTCCCTCTGTATCTCCCTCTCAAAAATACTTGTATCTTACTTGTGTCTATGTTGTAATTTCCCCTTTCCCACCCTGATAGAATAAAGTTCCTTGGGGGCAGGGCCTCTTTTGTTCTCTCTCCTCAGAACCCAGCAGGGTGACATGTATACAACAAGTGCTTAATGTTTGTTGAATTGGGTTAGATTAGCTTTATGATTTAGAGAAGAGAGGTTCTATTATTCCCATTTTCAAGTTGAATACTAAAGTTCAAAAAAGGGAAATGACTTATCCATAGTCAGCTTCAGGGGAAGAATGGGGCTCCAATAATGATGGAAAGGTCTTAAATGACTTGCCCAGAATCACAGAGCTGCTAGTGTCAGTGGCTGGCTTTGAACTGGAGTCTTCATGCCTCAAGAGGAATGTTTGTTCTAGCTACTCTGTCTGCACCTGTCTCCTGACTCCCGGCGCCACTCCAGGCACTCTGTGGCATCTAGACAATTCTTGAGTGTCTGATGGCCTGATCTGAGAAATGCAGAACCAGGCAGCTCTAAAGCTGGAAGAACTTCCTGCTGCCTTCTCCCTTTCTTTCTGTTTCCCTGTTAGTGAAATGCATTTGTCCCCAGTTGTTCTCAAGCTCAAGGAGGTTATGACTTGCTGAGGTCAGACAGGGAGCTGCAGACCCAGCTTTTGAAACCAGATATTCTCACTCCTGTTCAGTGACTTTTCCACTAGTCATCTTTCTTTCTTACAGCTTCCTCCCCTGTGTTTCCTGGGGGGTGATCCAGACACCAGGCTCCTGGCTGCTCCCTGCTCACGCCAATCACACTCACTGCCTCAGTGCATCTTCTCGGGCCGGGCCTTGGCCTGGGATGCTCTCTCGTCTCATTTCCACCTCTTGGCTTCCCTGGCTTTCTCCAAGTCTCATTTCCAGTCTCACCTCTACCAGAAGCTTGCCCCATACCCCATGACCCTAGTGCCTTCCTCTGAGACAATCCTCAGATTTTCCTGCGTCTAGATTACTTGTACATCGTGTTCCCATGTTGTCTCCCCCATTAGACTGTGAGCTCCTTGAGAACACAGATTGTTATTTACTTTTTTTGCTTTTCTTTGTATTCCCAACACTCACCAGAGTGCCTGGCACATAGTAGGTGCTTAATAAATGCTAGTTGCCTATCGAAATTAATAAGACAAAACTGACTTCACAGAACCCTAGAATTTGATTTTTAAGCAACTATAGTCACCATTGATTCCAACCTATACTGGAAAGAAATGCCCTGCATAACATACCAGTTGTTCAGACTCTGCTTGAAGACCTCCAGAGAAAGGAATACCGCCTCATCTGAGAGCACATTTCACTTTTGGACAGTTTTCATTATTAAGAAATTGTTTCTCCCTAGAGGCATCTGGTGGCACAGTGGTTAGAGCACTGGGCCTGGAATCAGGAAAACCTGAGTTCATATCTGGCCTCAGACACTTACTAGCTTTGTGACCCTGGGTAAGTCACTGAACCTGTGACTGCCTCAGTTTCCTCAACTTTAAAATGGGAATAAAAATAACACCTGTGTCCCAAGGGTTCTGTAAGGATTAAATTAGAGAATATTAAAAAAAAACTCTTAGCAGAGTGCCCAGCACATAGTAGGTGCTTTATAAATGCTTATTCTCTTCCCTTCTCTTCTCCTGCTCCTCCCCACCACATGTTCTCAATGTGTCTCTTTGCAATTGGACCTGCCTTGCTTCCAAATGACTAAGCTCAGAAAACTATGAAGTATCAAACTCTTTCTTCCCGAATCCTTTTGGTGTGAAATTCACTACTGGCCATTGGAGTATACCAATCCATTAAAAGTGGGAACACAGAAGCACACATATAGACACACACAGAGAAGCACTCACACATAGAGACACAGAGAGACACACATAGACACATATACACATAGACACAGATACAGATACATAGACACATGTAGAAACAGACAAACACAGATACATACACATAGTCATAATGAAACACAGATATACAGACACATGCAGAAACACATACATAGACATATACATATATACATAGACAGATAAACAGATAAAAACATATACAAACACAGATGTAGATATGCAGACACACGCACAGGCCTACTCACACACACACACACACAGACACATATATACACACACACACAGACAGATATGGTCAGTTCACTCAGGTAATATGTTTGCTGGTCCATTTAAACTTCATGCACTGATGAAATTCATTCTATCAAGGACCTCCCAAAATAAGTAAAGTTGGATTCATTTTTTTTAAGTCAGCGGGAAACCAACAAAAATCTTTGTGACTCTTGAAGTCAATCCGAGCTATCCCATACAAAATGGTGCCCTGCTGTGTGGAGAGGACACAGGCCCGATGTCTCTTCAAGGACTGGCTCTCCTACTTGTAAGTTGTGTGACCTGGGGATGACCATGAAACCAATCTGAGCCCTCTTCCTATGAAGAATAGAAGTAACTTCTGGCTTGCATTCTTTCAGTAGTTGTCATGAGGTCAAATCACTCAGGGGATGTGAAAGTGCTTTGTAGTCTGAGAAAGGATTCTCCATATTTGCAGCCCCCAGCGCTGGTGCTGAACATCAGGAGTGTGTTATTTCTTGTTCTTTACTCTTATTGGCGGAGTCAGTATCGTTATCTCTCTTTTGTCTCCAAAGCACCCAGCACGGGCCTTGCTTACCGCAAGTTTCTTGGATATTATTTACTGAGTAACTGTTGAATGGATTCCTGCACCAGGACTGCGTCCCTAGGACACCCTCAGAAGGGCACACACGAAGGGAATGCTGGTGGCTGTGCACGTCCCCATAGAGCGCGTGTGGCCAGGGCACCTTGCATCTCGGATCCTGCCGGTGTTCTCGGATCCTGCTTCTCTCTGTCAGACATCACGTCTCTACCGGTCATCTTAGCTGGTCTCTAATTGTCTGGGGGATCTGCTGAGTCACTTTTTGCTGCTGTCTGATGGCCTTCAGCCGAGCCGGTCCATCTTCTGCTTTCTGCTACCACCTGCTGGTTAACCTCTCCCACACCAGAAGGGCTAAAGCCATTGCGGTTTGTAGCCAGCCAAGGAGCCAACCAATGCGTGCTGAAGCCCTCAGGCAAGGACTAAGTTTGCTCTTTTAGCAGTTTTTCTTTCAATGTTTCTGGGCATCCCTGGACCCAACCATCTGACCTGGGGTTAGGAAATCACTTTAATTCTTGTCTCGTCCTTGGCCCTCAGCCTGCATCCTCTCAAATCCTTTTGAATACTTTACTCAAAAAAACCACCAATGAGCCATGGATGTCTAAGGCGAGGAGGCTCCTCTCGGTTCCTCATTATGTACATATGCCCTTGGATTAGTTTGGCTCCTGGGGGTGAGAACAGAAGGGCAACATGAATCTGGCAGGTCTGTATGTGTAGAACCTTCGTTCCAAGCTCCTTGCTTTGTTAGGCATCCCTTCCAGCAGCATCTTCCTGTATCAAGGAACACTTCCCAATAATTAAAGCCATACAGACGTGGAAGGGACTCCCTCTGTACATAGAAGGTTCTCTCTCCTGGAAGAATGACCATTTGTCTGGTGTATGGTAGGGGAAGGGCTTGTACTGGCGTGTCAGACTCCTCCAGTCTGCCCTCATCACTTCTCTTGTTCTTCCAGTGGGATTCAGTGAATTTGGCTGACTACCTACAGTCTTATGGAAGGATTATGACAAACTATGTAGAATTTATTGACAGGGGTGACCAGAATTATGGGAGACTGGACCCCATGCCCTATGAAGATCCACTGGAGAAACCACAAATGTTTCCTCTAGAGGAGATGCAGGGGAGGGAGATATGCAAGCTTTCTTCAAATGTTTGAAGGGTGTCAGGTGGAAGATATGACAGAGCACTTTTTCTGCTTGGCTTCAAAGGGAGAGATGAAGAGGAAGGAGTAGAAGCTTCTCAGAGGTCAATTTGGGCTTTTGACATAAGGAAACACTTCCTAACAGAGAAGGCTGTACTGAAGGTGCACTGAGCTGCCTCAGTAGGTCAGGGACTCCCATCACCAGAGGTCTATAAGCAGATTCTGGACAACTACTCAGTGGGGACATTGCAGAGGGGCTTTCTACTTAGGAGTGAAAGTCAGCAAATGGCCTTGGAGTTTCATTCCCACACTATAGCTCTTAGGTTTGCAATTTTGGTTGGGCACAAGTCACTTGCAGAGATGACAAAAGTTTTTTGTTTGTTTTTTTGTTTTTCCTTTTTATCAAAGAAAGCATATGGTAGAGTGACTTGTACTCAATTTTTGACATTAGACTGAGTCAAAAAGCGAATGTTAGCATCGTTCCCTAGTCTTGTCTAAAGCAGAAAGACTCAGGGCCATTTCTTTGATCCTTCAAAACATTCTTTAAACTCAAAGATGACCCTTCTCAGTGGAATTTAATCAAAAGAATGTTCATCTAAGATGAGGGTATGAGGCTGTGTGTACATGTGTGTGTGTGTGTGTTTGTGTGTGTCGGGGAGTGAGGGTTAGGAGACAGGAAGAGAAAGAAAAGACAGGTTCAGTAGTGTTTCTTTCCCTACAGGAAGCTGGATGACCACTGGCCAGTCATAACTTTAGAAGAGATGTGAGTTGTGGGGAGGGGTCGGACCAGGTGACCTTTGAGGTCACTCCCAACCCTGAGATTCTAAAGTTCTCAGTGGTGAGGGTAGGAAAAGAGAGGTGAGCCTCCTTAAATACTTAACACGTTTACTGGTGAGTGAATTGTTTGGTCATAGAAAGAATGCCTCTTGATTGACAGTGCCTTGATGTCAAGTTCAGAAGTTTAGAACAAAACAAAACAAAACAGAAAACAGAACTACATTGCAGACCCTGGGATTAAGGCCCTGAAATTCACACTTGACAAGTTAAGTCCAGAGCTTTGGGCCAAGCCCTCTTGCTGCAGTTGGAAACGCACATGGCGGCTCTTGTTCTGACATCTGCAAATAAACACTTGCCGTGCAGCCCGCGTGTCTGCATCAAAGGGGCTGCGTTCAGTCAGGTCACAGGCAGCAGAGCCCCCAGCCCCCCAGCCCAGGCCACAGACACATCCTCCACATGGTGTTTATTTGACTTACTTACCATGGTGATTGATGCTGTTTATGAGCCTCACCCCCACTTGGGCATGGTTATTAGTCATCAGCACAATATCAAACAAGTCCTGTTCATTGGGATAAAGACTGCGCAGTCTGGCATTGACATTCTGCAGGGCCTGTAGGTTACAAACATCAAGGTGTATGTGTCAGCCTGGTAGGCCTAGAGACCAGCCACTGAAAGGGAAGGGGAACGGCGGGCCCATCTCCCTGGCCAGACCTGCTCCTCGGGTTCCTCGGCCACCTCGGCCACCTCTTGAAGCCAAGAGAAAAAGCACAAACAGGTGGGAACCATGTGTTTTTGTGGAAGAGAGGGTAGCAGGAATCGGGCCTGTGACTGCACTCCTGTAAATAAGTCCCAAGCGAGGAAGCCCCTCCCTCCAACAATGTTGTCTGGAGGGACTGAGAGGCACTGAGTCAGAATGAGTCAGAGCTGGGACGACCTCTGGGGCAGGCAGCTGGGGTATGGTGGGAAAACATCCACGGGATTGAGAGGTAGAGGGGGGTCCGGTTTTGGCCCTACCACTAAAAACTACCCCCAGGAGCTTAGGCAAGGAACTTAGCAGAGTGAATGGGGCATCACCAAGAGAGCCCCTGGGTGTGGGGTCACAGCAGGCCTGAACTTCAATCTTGACTCTAGCACACAAGTTACAGAATTAGACCTCAGAATTTCCTCCAGCTGATATGTGGACAACAGCCTCCTTCATGACCTACTTGACAAGGGCTCATCTCATGTCTGCCCAAAGAATTCCTGGGGGTCAAAACCTTCTGAGACAAACAATCCCTTTCACTTTAGGGCAGCTCTAACTGTAGGCTTGATGTAAAGCCTACAATGGCCTCTCCACAATGACTCTCTGTTGCTAAGTTTTGCTTTCTAGGCCCAAGTAGAAACAAGTCTAAAGTGTCTTCAGGCTTCCCAATACTTGGACAGAGCTATTATGTCTTTCCTAAGTTTACCTATGCCTGCAGGCTAAATATCCCCAATTCATTCAGCATGTCTAATACTGGATGATATTTAAGGCCCTTATAGCTGCTAAGTGGTACAGTGGATGGAAGGGCCAGACCTGGAGCCAAGAAGAAGAGTTAATAACAATTTGACCCCAGGCTACTCAATTTCACTGAAACTATTTTCCTATATGTAAAATGGGGATAGGAACAGCACCTACTTCACAGGGTGAGGTATTGTGAGGATCAAATGAGATGATATATACAAAGCATTCTGCAAACCTTAATGTCCTGCACAGTTGCTAATCATCATCCCCGTCATCACACCGTCACCACCACCACCACCACCACCACCATCATCCTCATCCTCATCATCATCACCATCACCACTATCATCATCATCATCATTATCCTCCTCATCATCTTCATCATTACCACCACCATCACTATTGTCATCAACATCACCATCATCATCACCAACATCCCCATCATCATCATCATCATCATCATCATCATCATAATCATCATCATTACCACCACAACCATCATCATCATTCTCATCAACACCACCATCACTATCATTCTCTTCATCCTCACCACCACTATCACCACTATCATCATCATCATTATCTTCCTCCTAATCTTCCTCATTACCACCATCACTACTATCCTCATCCTCATCACCATCATCATCACCATCATCCTCTTCATCCTCACCACCACCACCACCACCATCTTAGTTGCATTCCCCTAGACTATCCCCACATATTAATTTTGTTCCTAAAATGTGGCATCTAGGACTGAATGCTATATTCTAGACATGGTATGCACAGAACGGAGGACAATTGGCTTCTGACCTTCCCAGCTCTGGATACCATTCTTCTCTCAGTAGACCTACAGTGATATTAGCCTCTTGGGTTACCATGTCACAATATTGATTTCTGTTAAAGGTGTAGTGCATTAAACACTGAGACCTTTGTTGTTCTTAGGTTTCATATGAGGTGAGTCTCTGTCCAGCCACTTCTGCCCATCTATATATTTGTGAAATTTGTTGTTTCTGTCTCTATTGAATTGAATCTTACTCTGTTTGACCCATTGTTCTCTTCTGTCAAGATTTTTCTGGATCCAGCTCTATAATCTAACGAGCTAGCTATTCATTCTTGCTTTGAGTCATCTGCCAATTCGATGAGCATGCCATCTATCCCAAGGCAATCATACAAATGTCAAATATGCCAGGGGCCATTGCTGCTCCCCGCCACATTCCACTGGGGGCCTCCTTTCACATTGCTATCCAAACATCAGTGCCTAGGGTGACCATCAGGCCATTTATTTGATGATGAAGGGAATGGGTCGGCTCATTCAGTTCTGAGTTCACTAGACTGCTGTTAGCTGGCCCCTATTTTTCCATCTGATCCAGAAGAGCCACATGAGAGACATTAGTTTTGCCACAACCCAGGTAAACAATACTGTATTCTTCCTAATTTATTAGTACAGTAACCTTGTAGTCTGACATGACCTGCTCTTGATGAAGACATACTGGATCTCTGTGATCACTTCTTCCTTTTGGAAACATTCAGTAACATCCTTTTAATAACATATTCTATAATTTCCCCGAGGAATCTGAACCAAGGTTATTGGCTTATAATTTTCATGCTCCCTCCCAACTTAAAAAAAATTTTTTTTTTTTGCTTTTCTGCCTTTTGGAGTACTTGACTACCCCCCCCCACCCCCCATTCAGCAGTATTCTAAGTGTTCCTAGTACTGAACATTTGCAAAGTGTTTTATGTACATGTTTCATTATCTCTCCCTGTCTCTAAAATCTTTCAAAGGTCACTGCTGGTGGCTCAAAAACATATGCTGAGATATCATTCTTTTTTTTCTTAAATCTAAACAAAATGGAGGACAGAGAAGACTGTATATATCTACAAATTTAGATACTATAAGAAGTCTCTCTCTCACCCCACTAGTTCAAATCTTTTTGTATCATCCCTTATTCTCTTTTCCTTTAGTGAGGACATTCCTCTTCATCATCTTTCAGGTGAGGATGGAGAGTGAGCCCTTCCATTGTGTTCTTGACCCCAGCTGTTGCGCTTTTTTGATTCTCCCTATCCCTCTTGGGAGCCCCTTTCCCACTCCCTACAGTTAAGTCTTACCCATCCTTAAACACTTATGTGTACCATGTCTGCTCGTATAGCTCACACCCTTGAAAAGCTTGTTGTCAATCAATGTCTGCACCTCCAGAAATATCTCTCACTTTTGGTCCTTTTCTCTATCACTCAACTGAGACTGCTGTCTTCACAGTTACCTGCAATCGCTTAAGTGTTCAATTCAGTGGCCTTCTTTTCTGATCAGGTTCTCAGCCTTGACTTCTCTCTAGCTTTTGATACCATCTTCCACTCCCTTCCCTTGGACGATCTCATTCTTGGCGTCTGTAACACTGATCTCTTCTGGTTCTCCTGTCTGATTTCTTTTTCTCAGGCCCCTTTGTGTGTTTCTCACCAGTGTCATGACCCCTATCTGTGGGTGCTCACCAAGGCTCTGTCCTGAGTTCTTTTCTCTGATTCACAGACCTGTTTATTGAACCTCAGGCACTTTCCCAAACTCTAGGACCATACTTTTTAACTGATTATGGAATAACTACACTTGGATAACATGCTGTCATCTCAAAACCAACATATGCAAAGTACAAATAAAGATTTTTGCCTCCTCTTCCTTCATCCATTACCCCCCCACCATCCACCAACCCAAGTCTTGTCCATCCTATCTCCATGGTGTCTCTTGAGGTTGTTCCCTTCTGTCTACCCACAAAGCCACCATCCTAGGTCAAGTCCTTATCCTTTCTCATCCTAGACTATTGCAGTAAACTTCTAACTGGTTTTCCTACCTTGTCTAGTCTCTCTCCACAGTCTTGCCAAATTGATATTCTTAAAATACAGATTTCATGATATCATTCTCCTACTCAAAAGACTTTGTTGGTTCCCTATTATCTCTAGGAAAAATCAAACTTCCCATTTTTACATTAAAGCCGTCCCAAACTCCACCTGAGCATTGGGTTCAGAATCAGGAAGATCTGAGTTCAAATCCAACCTCAGACATTTATTTTCTCTGTGATCTTGGGCAAGTCATTTAACCGCTGTCTGTCCCAGTTTTCTCTTCTGTAAAATGGGGATAATAATAGCACCCACCTCCCAGGGCTGTTGTGAAAATCAAATGTGATAGTATTTGTGGAGTGCTTAGCACAGTGCTTGGCACACAGCAGGCACTAAGTAAATGCTTGTTGCCACCCTCCCCTCCTTTAGTCTAACCTTCATTTATCTATTCAGTCACATTTCATATTACTTGCTTTTTCGTAGTATGCGTTTGAGTCAAACTAGGCTGCTGGATGCTTCCCATACACAATGTTCCATTTGTCACCTCCCATGTCTTCTCAAGAGTGGCCCCCATGTCTGGAATGCACCCCCTCCTTGCCTCCTCTCCTCCTCTCCTAATAGAATCCCTGGTTTGCTTCTAAGCACAGTTCAGGGCACTACTTCTTAAGTGAGACCTTTCCCAATGTCCCTGGTTGTTAGTACTTTCACCTTCCCTGCTGTTCACTTGGGGATCGCATCAGCTCCCCTGGCTTCAGTCATCTTTGTGCAGAAAACTTTCAGGTCCACTTGGTCTAGGCTAGGGGGAGTGGATGGTGGAGAGTCACACAGTCATAGCCTGTCAGACCTGGAAGGGCCCCAAGAGATCCTCCAGCCTCGACCCCTCGTCGAGCAGAGGAGGAGACAAGGCTAGGGAGTGCCGAGAATTTGGCTCAGGTTTTTCTCAGCTTGTCCTTGGACCGGTACCTTGACGAAGCCAAAGGCGGGTCCCGGGCTCAGAATGACATTCTCATTGTTGATCTGGTACTCCATGTACTTCTCCAGTCCTTCATTCTCAAAGATTTTACTGTCTTCCACCATATTGAAAAGTGCCCGGGAAGAGACAGCGACAGTGATAGCATTCTTAGGTTTAGGCTGCAGGAAGGGGTGGGCAGAAAGAGGGGTGGGTCAGGAATTGCTAGAGGAAGAAGGGTGGGGACAGACAGAAAGACACACCTGGAAGAGGGAAATAAGGGTGTGGGATGGCATAGGAAGGGAGGAGGGACAGATTTTGGTGGGTCGGTTGGTTTCATGGATTATGATTGATTCCAGATAAGAGCGGGAATGGGTGGAATAAGTGGATCAGTGAGGACAAGTAGATGGAGGGATAGACACAAAGGGCTGTGGAGGAAGAGAGAGCAATGAGGGCACAAGTAGAGAGGATGGACAAAGGGACACATGAAACATGGTGAAGGGCGAATGGAAAAGGGGGAGTCAGAGTTCAGAAGAAGAATATAACCCAGGTCAGAGTCTGACTGGCTGCAGAAAGGTGGGGGAGGCCCAAGGCATACTCCAAGCACTGGGAGGTGGGGAAAGGGGAAAGTGGATGGTGCTTACTGGCCTGGGTCGGCCGGGAGTCCAGTTGGAAACGTCCTCATCAGTGTCTTCGTTCGTATCCCTGGGCTGTGGGCTCTTCCATCCCTGGGATGACTGGTCCCTAAGCACCCCTGAGGTTGGAGGTAGAGGTGTAGCTGCAGGCTGTTTTGGCTCCCCAAGGCTCTGAATGGCAGGCAGAGGAGGAGGGGGCAACTTCTCTGGGGCAATGGAGAATAGAGACTCTGTGCTGCTGACGGACTGCTGGAGATAGGAGTAATGAACTGAGTGAGTGGTGCATCCTGACCCCAGGCCCCTCTTCTTCCTCCTCCCCCCAACACAAGCGCACTGGGCATAGCCTAGGCCCCTGGCTCAGCACACACTCCCCTGAGTGTAGAGCATGGTGCCCTTACAGGCTCCGAGATGCAACAGATTCCAGATTTCAATCTGTTGATGCCTCATTCAATACTCACGGTCTTTGTATGTACCAGTCCTAACCCACCTACCCCACCCCACCCCTGCCAACCTCCGCACCCCTCATTTCTAACCAGGAAGGTGTATTACTGAGGAGGCACAGTCCATGGGTAAGACAACTCTATCTAGTGCACTCTGTGTGTGTGTGTGTGTGTGTGTGTGTGTGCGTATGTGCGTGACAGAGAGACAGAGAGAGACAGAAAAACCGAAAGGCAGAGACAGAGAGAGGAAGGGGGAGCTTTGACTCCGCTAAATCTTCATGCTCAGAATGTGGCATTTGAGACCCCAAGGTCCTGGGCTCCCACCCTGCCTAGCACTTGCTTGGCACAGTGACCCTGAGCAAGTCACTTCATTTCTCGCAGCCTGTTTCCTCATTTGTAAGATGGGGCTGGAGACTGGAGGACCTAACAGCATAGGCTTGGGATAATCATTCACAATAGCAGTCGTAGTAGCTGACATTTCTGTGACACTTTAAGGCCTGCCAAGTGCCTTATCAACATTATGTCATTTGATCCCCACAAAACCCTGGGAAGTAGGTGCTATTGTTATCATCTCCAGTTTACAGTTAAGGAAACTGAGGCAGACAGAAGTGAAACAATGTGCCCAAGGTCCACAGCTAGTAAGTGCCTGAAGTTGCATTTGAACTCAAGTCTTCCTGACTCCAGGAGGTCTGGTGCTTAGAAATGGACCTATACAGATGTGATCCAATGAAATTATCATCTGTAGAGTGCCGTGGAAATACCAGCTGGGCCGCTCAGTGTCTTGTTCTTGCCTTAAGAGCGGTGTGAAAGACTCTGCCTTGTGAGGGCATTTTCCTCATCTTTCCCTCGTGTCCTTGTCAGATGAGGAAATTGGGTTCCTCCAACATGACTGCTCTTGAGAAACCTGTTCCTTGTTCCCCTTTCTCTTTATCGTGAGCCCTCCCTTCCAGGCTCCTTTTTCCAGTGAGCCCCCTCACCTCAATCTGGCAGGTTCCATTCTCTTGCCTGTCCTTGTCTCCTCCTGGGCCATCCCTCTGTCCTCCCCAGTCTGTCCCAGCAGGCCTCTCAGTAGCCAAGGACACCATTCCTCTGGGCCTGGCAACTCGGGCTTGTCAGGGTCAGCTGATGACCTCTTGCTATCTATCGCCTTACTTGGGTTGGGGGTCCACTTCTCACGAGCCACTTTTGTCCTGTCCTTTCTGGGCCAGAGATTGGGCTCTTGGCAGCAAAGACAGAAGCCAAATCAGCTTCCTCTTTTATTACTGATGGCCCCCCCCCACCCAAAGCCAAGGCACTTTAACATCTTTGATGCCCCCTCTCACGGCCAGTAGCTGAAATGAGTAATCAGAATAGAAAGACCCCAGCAAAATGTCCTGCAGTGACAACATGTGGTGGGGGCTGGAGGGTGGGAAGAGGAGGACAGGAAGGGTCAGACATGATGTGCTTCTGTGAGGGCATTTAAGGTGTACCATTCTGCACAGAGCCCTGGGCAAGGCCTTTGGAAGCCCCGTGTTCAGATTCAGCCTCAGGCTCTTACTAGCTGGGTGATCCTGGACAAAGCACTTTGCTTCTACTTGCCTCAGTTTTCTCATCTATAAAATGGGGATCATAACAGCACCTACCTTGCAAGGCTGTTGGGAGGATCCAGTGAGATAATTTTTGTAAAGTGCTTAGCACAGTGCCTGGCACATAGTGGGAACTTAATAATGCTTGTTTCCTTCCTTTCTGTTGTTAATGACCCTCAGACTCCCTGTGGGTTTTTCTGTCTCTTCTCCCATTACCCTTGCTCAGGGGAGGACAGAGGGACATCCCAGGAGGAGACAAGGACAGCCAAGAGAATGGTGGCTTGGACTCATGGCCTCACGCAGTCTAACGTGCATCCCCCAGGGTTCTCATCCGCCTTTCCCCCTCATCCCCTTCTCCTTTCTTCCTGATTCATACCCTCATGTTCCAGCTTTTGGTATCATCTTCGTCAGAAACCCATGAACTCCGGCTTTGCTGGAGGCTTTTCTGAGTGTCACTATTCAGCGTATCATACTCTTGGCTTAAACTCTGTTGAGGGAAGATGAAAAACAGGGGCATTTGTCCACTACCCCAATGCGCCGCACACACAGCCTGTCCAATTATAAACTTGAGATTGGACGATTGTACCCCCTTGTCCCCTTCCCTTCCCTTCCTTGCTGACTATCTATTCACTTCCACCTGCCCCTCCAACCCATCCATAGCTCTCTATCCTCCCACCCCTATCCTCAATTCCTCCTGGACCTAGATTCACTGGCAAGGGGGCGGGGCACAAAATAGGATGTCCAGAACCAAGATTCAAAGAAACTTTCCTGTGGCCTAGAGCACCGTGGCTCCCTGCCCCTCTGTGCCCTTAGGCATGGGTCCTTTCTTCTCCCATTCCAAGGTTAGGCCTAAACCAGGTGCCAAGAGTCGAATGCACGTCCAACAGTGCCCTATGAGAGACAGCAGCTCTGGTGGCACTGGACAGCCATCTGCTCTGTGGTCAGGAGGCTTCAGATCGAACCTTCATCTTCTTACATGAGTGAAATTCGGGGGAGGGGGGAAGACAAGTGAAAGGGGAGGCCCCTGGCCCTGCTGGCAGCCTGCTTTGCCCAGGGTCCCTCCGCCTCCCCCCACAATGCCTCTGGCTCCCTTTGAAGTCGGGTGGTGTGTTCTCTGCTCACCCCGATTATGACGACCTGCTGTCCCTGCTCCCACAACAGGCACACATACAAATAAATAGTCAGGCTGCGGAAGGGGCCAAGGAGTAATGCTCCCTCCGCAGCATTCAGGCCAAGGCAGCGTCTATATGACGAGAAACACCACATCGAACAGCGCCTTAGCGAGTGAACCGGGTTGACTGCACGCCTCATCTGAAAGATTGGGCAGAAATCGGTCATCGCGAAGGCCAGACGCCCTGCCCCGTCCCGGTCAGACCCAGAGGCGGTCTCCTCCGGCAGGCTGAGGATGAGTCAGACCTGGCGTCGTCTGCAGTGGGCCCAGGCACTGCGGACTGGAGGGGGAGCAGGGACGCGCTGCTCCTACTTCTCCCCTGCGAACCTGGCTGGGCAGCCGGCCCGCTCCCAGCCCTGTCCTCCGGTGCTGGCAGCCTCCCGCCCCCTGCCTGATGTCTTCACACCTGACTCGCCGCAGCCCGCACAGGTCGGCTCACCTGGGCATTCTGGCGAGCGCTCGTTCTCTCGATGTCCCTCACCCTCTTCCTGTCTGAGTCACTGTTTTCTCTGGGAACTTTCATGGCCCGTTCGCGCTTAATGTGGGAAGAAACAAAGAAACAAACAAGCAAAAATCAAAAGACAAATGCAGTTTGCTCTGCTCAGATTTGAGGTCGTCAAGCCCAGGCTTGAAATAAAAGGACGGAATCACAAACAAACATCCTTTAACCAAACGGATCCGCTGGTGCTCCATTCTCAGGCCGAGCCGCTGCTTGTGGGATGCTGCTTGCTACAGCTCCGAGGACCTTCGGGGTCTCCTGGCACAGCCCCTTCATTGGACGGAGGAGGAAGCTGGGGCCAGAGAGGCTGAATAACCCGCCCAAGGGCCCCCCACTACTACTTAGCGTTTGCAAAGCACTTCACCAATGTCATCTCCTATGTCCTCGTGACAACTCTGCTATTATTACCCCCATTTTACCAACGAGGAAACTGAGGCAGACAGAGGTGAAGTGAAGGGTCAAATAGCCAGCAAACATCAGAGCGAGGATTTCAACTTAATAGTTAATAATAATAGCTAACATTCATAACTCCTACTATGTGTTGGCACTGTACTACGGGCTTTACAATTATTTTCTTTTTTGATCCTCACAACAACCTGGGAGGTAGATGCTGTTGTTGTTCCCATTTTACAGCTAAGGAAACTGAGGCAGACAGAGGATAAGTGCCTTGCTCAAGGTCACACAGCTAGTAAGTGTCTAGCATTGTCCAACTGGATGATTTAAAACCAGATTTAAACCCAGGTCTTCCTGACTCTAGGCCAGGAGTGGGGAACCTGTGGCCTCCCTGTGGTCTCAAGGTCGCATGTGTCCCTCTAAGTCCTCAAGTGTGGTTCTGTGAAGTTTGGATTCATTCCAAAGGGCCGTAACTGAGAACCTAGAGGGCCACGTGCGGCCTCAAAGCCGCAGATTCCCCACCTCTGCTCTAGATGTTCTTGACCCTCTAGGCTTCATTCCATCTCATTTTTTTCTTCTATAGCCAGAAGTATATTTTTACTGTATTCATTTTTCTCTTTGCTGAAAAAGGAGAAGAGAGAGAAGGGGAAGAAGAAAAGGAAGAGCAGAAGGAGGGGGACTGGTGGCAGTTGCTTCCCTGCTTGAGGATCCAGAAGCAGTGACTTGTCTCTTGACCACAGCCGTGGTGAGGTCTGCGATCTTGTTGGATGAAAGCAGATGACTCGGTCCATTAAGATGTAAACTCCCTGAGGTCAGAGTTGATGTCACTTTTGTACACACTTCCCCAGCTGCTCACACTGTCTCCACCATAAAGTAGGAGCTTAATGATTCCACGTGGATTACTTGCACCTACTTTTTGGTGATTCTCAAGTCACAAGTTACACAGCTTGAAGGAATCCAGAGAAGCCTTGTTGAATATCACAATGGGTTCGAAAACCATCAGACATAAGTGATGCTGTCATCATTGTTGCCCATTGAAAGCAAAAGATGGAGAAGAGAAGAGATTTGGGAGCCAATCCACCCACAAGTATTTATGAAGCACCTCCTTGGTACCAGGCCCAAATGCTCAGGGCCAAGGACACAAGGACAAAAAAAGGTGCCTCCATCAGAGAGAAGAAAGAAGGACATGGATGATGAAGCTCATGATTCAGATAAATACAATGTGGGTCAATACAAGGTGCTTTAAGAGGAAGAGTGAAAACTAAAAGTTTGAGCGGGGGCACAGAAAAGGCATCAGGTAGGTACAAGGCAATGCTTGAACTAAATGCTAAGTCAGTTGGTCAGTAAACATTTATTAGGTGCCTACTGTGTTAGTCAACAGGCAATTATGAAATACTTAGTATGTGCCAGACACTGGGCTAAGATTTGGGGATACAAGGAAAGGCAAAAGACGTTTCCTGCCCTTGAGAAGCCCGTGATGGGAGAGGCAGCATTCAAACATCTAGGGACAAGAAAGCTTGTTGTAGGAAATAAATAACAGAGGGAAGGCATTAGAATTTAAAATATATATCTATATATATATATAGATATATATTTATTTAATGTTTTGGTTTTTTCCCCAATTACATGTAAAAACAATTTTTAACATGATTTAAAAAAATTTGCAAGTAGATATCTCCCTCCTTTCCTCCTCTCACCCCTCATTGAGAAGGCAAGTAATTTGATATAAGTTTACATGTGTGGTTATTCAAAACATATTTCTATATTAGTCATGTTGAAAAAGAAAACATATGCCCCCCCCCAAAAAAAGCCCAAGAAAAATAAAGTTAAGAAAACGTATGCTTTGATCTGCATTCAGACTCCATCAGTTCTTTCTCTGGAGGTGGATAATGTTTTTCATCATAAGTCTTTAAGAATTGTCTGGTCATTGTATTGCTGAAAATAGCTAAGTCATTCACAGTTGATCATCGTACAATATTGCTGTTATAGTGTACAATGTTTTCCTGGTTCTGCTCATTTCACTTTGCCTCAGTTCGTATGAGTCTTTCCATGTTTTTCTGAGAGCATGCTGCTCATCATTTCTATAGCACAATAGTGTCCCATCACAATCACATATCCCAACTTGTTTAGATATTCCCCAATTGATGGGTATCCCCTCAATTTTCAATTCTTTGGCATCCTAAAAATAGTGGCTATAAAGATTTTTGTACATATAGGTCCTTTTCCCTTTTCTTTGATCTCTTTGAGACACAGGCCTAATAGTGGTATTTCTAGATCAAAAGGGTATGCACAGTTCAATAGTCCTTTTGGAATAGTTCCAAATTATTTTACAGAGTGGTTGGATCAGTTCACAACAACTAATGCACCAACAGTGCTTTAGTGTCTCAATTTTCCCATATCCTCTCCAATATTTGTGATTTTCCTTTTCTGTCATACCAGCTTTTCTGACAGGCATGGAGTAGTACCTCAGAGTTGTTTGAATTTGCATTTCTCTAATAGTGATTTAGAGCATTTTTATATAACTATAGATAGCTTTTATTACTTTATCTGAAAACTGCTTGTTTATATCCTTTGACCATTTGTCACTTGGGAAATGGCTTTTATTTTTATAAAGTTGAATCAGTTCTCTATATGTTTGAGAAATTAGGTGTCTTTCAGAAAATCTTGCTGCATTTTTTTTTCACTGAAGAAAAGAACTCCTTAAAAAGTAGAGTTGTCCAAGTGGGAAAAAAAGATAAACAAAAGCTCACTGAAGAAAATAATTTGTTAACAATTAAAATTGGACAATTGGAAGCTAATGACTCCATGAAACATCAAGAAACAATAAAACCAAATCAAAAGAATGAAAAAAAAGAAGAAAATAGAGTGAAATATCTCATTGGAAAAACAATCGACTTGGAAAATAGATTAAGGAGAGATCATTTAAGAATCATTAGACTACTGGAAAGCTATGATAAAATAAAAGATCCTAGACATCATATTTAAGGAAATTATCGTGGAAAACTGTGCTGATATTCTAGAACCAGAGGGTAAAATAGAAATTGAAAGAGTCCACGGATCACTTCCTGAAAGAAATCCCAAAATGAAAACTCTCAGGAATATTATAGCCAAATTCCTGAGCTCGCAGGCCAAGGAGAAAATGTTACAAACAGGCAGAAAGAATTAATTCAAATATCATGGAGACACAGGATTATAGAACATTTAGTAGCTTCTGCATTTTTCTTTGAGGCTTTTGATATAGTGGTTTTGATTTTGTTGTCTTCTTCTGAGTTTGTGTTTTGATCTTCCCTGTTGCCCTAGTAATTTTATATGGTCAGGATCTGCTTCTTCTTATTGTTTGCTCATTTTTCCAGACTATTTCTTGACTTTTAACTTTATGTTAAAGTTGGGCTCTGCTCCTGAGGAGGGAGGGGTCACTGTCCCAAGCTTCAGAATTTTTGTGCAACTGCTTTTAGAGCTAGTTATGGAGGGGTCTATAAGTTTTTGGTTCTTCCAGATCAGTTTTCTATTTTGGATCTAAGGAGAGATGTGGTCATTGCTCTCCAGGCATGTGTTCTAGTCTGTGCGTGATTACATGCACTCTTTTCTGCCTTGAAACTGTAATCTGGGTCCTGCTTCCCTGCAGCTGCAATGTCTGGCATGTTGGTGTTCCTCCTCACCCTGGGATTGTAACCCAGGACTGTGATCCAGATCCACATGTGGGTAATACAACAAATTCTTGCTCCCAGTGCCTGCAAAGAGACTTTTGTAATCTCCTTCTGACCAGTTGTTAGACTCTTTTCCCACCTGTGACCTGAGAGCTCTGGCAGCCACTGCCAATTCCATTGTCCCCAAGGCCCGCTGCTGGCTTGCTGAGGTGTTGCCTGTGCTGGACTGAGCTTCACTCTCACCCCAGTGCAACAGACCTTTCTTGCTGACCTTCTAGGCTGTCTTGGGCTGGAAAATTGTTTTACCCTATCCTTTTATGGGTTATGCTGCTCCAGAATTTGTTTTGAAGTATTGTTTAAAGTTGCTTGGGGGGGGGGGGCGGAGACAAGATGGCGGAGTAAAAGCAGTGAGTTACTTGAGCTCTCCCCCAAACCCTTCCAAATACCTATTAAAAAATGACTCTAAACAAATTCTAAAGCAGCAGAACCCACAAAAAGAGTGAATCAAATTTCCAGCCCAAGACAACCTGGATGGGTGATCTGAAAGGTATATTGTGCCGGGCTGGGAGAGGAATGCAGTTTAGCGTGGGTGCACAGGCCACAGTGAACCTGGAGCAGCCCTCAGAGAACTGAATCACGGGCAGCTGGGGCAGTTTCTGGACCTCTCAACCCATGAACACTAAAGACAACTTAGAAGATCATTAGGAAAAGTCTGTGTTTGAAGTGAGAGAGAAGCGTGGGGTCCCAGCCCCATTCCCCGAAGCTGGGCCCCAGGGTGGTGGCTGCCTCCTGAGCTTCCAGACCAGAGACTGAGGGGGAATTGAGTGGCTGATTAGAGGGGGATTGCAGGGATCTCTTTGCTGGTGCAGGATTCTCTTGCTTTGCCCATGCTTGGATCTGGGTCACGGTTCTAGGTGACGATCCTGGGGTGAGGAGGAGTGCTGGCATGGTGGAGCTTGTGTTGACTGTGGAGAGAGAATCCTC